TCTAAAAGCACCAAATTTGCCCCAGAGGTAGATTATACCATACTATTCTGCCGGACGCCAAGAAGGGCGCTCTCTGGGACTGTCATATTGGGCAAATCCAAAATGGCCGCCATCTGAGTTAAAGGTCAACCGTAGTTCCAAAATGAAAAGCGCTTGTATGATAATAGTTTATGTATTTATAGGGTTTTGGGGGTCAGAGAATCTGATTTTGATGTTCTTTCATTGATTTGAGGTCTCCTTGGGGCTGCCTTACTGGTCATATTGGTCAAATCCAAAATGGCCGCCATCTGAGGAAATGGGCTAGTATGATAAAAGTTGATGAATTCATTGGGTTTCCGGGGTAGGACAATCTGATTATGATGTTCTTTTATCCATAAGTGAGTTCGTAATTGCACACTTCGCATGCGCCAAAATCGGGAATGAACTTTTACAAAGGTCACATGAACATAAAGAGAGCTGAGAGAGGAACTGTAATTTGTTTGTGTGCTGGCCTTTCCTTTGTGAATGATCACATCTGACACATCAGTCACCGAAAATCATTTCTGAATGTCGGAATTGGTTCTTTATAGTAAACTTTACTTGAAATCTGGTCATCGGTAAAGTATTATCGGTATTATCGTGATTCAAGTCCCCAGGAACTCGACCTTTATGCCTAGACGTTGCATAATGCAATTCGTATTGGTATTTTATTCCATCTCAGAGTGATTATAGACGTTTTTAAGGATAATAAAGATAAAGCTGTCTGGGTTTTTAAAGATAATGCTTCAAAACAAATCGAACAAGCTGTTTATTTCTTTATTCATGGTTTGTTTCTACTGTTTATCTATTTTCATTGCCAACCCTCAAAAACGAATTTATTATGCATTTCACAGAGGAAGTTTGCATAGGAGAACAATATGGCACATCTTTAGGGGCCTGGAAGAGCCCCTACCGGGGGTTCCGGGGCGGAGCCCCAGGATGCTCTCGAGTTTATTTGACTTTCAAGATAAAGTGTCTCTAATATATAAAGAGAATTATTTCTTCAATGAAGTGAAAGGACTCTTGAAAATAAAATAGCCTTTTCATTTCATTTTATAAATAAACTCTAATCCATCCCTTGATATATAAATTGCACTGCTCCTACTTCGTGCTTTTTTCACACTCTCCCTGATCTATAAAGGGTGCTTTCTCCATTTGATCATCAACAGAAGCAAAATGCTAGGCCACGAACTTTTCGAAGCGTGACCAGATTCAAAGTATGCTTAAATGGGGGCATTGATGTATGTAGAAAAAAGGGATTAAGATCCCATGCAACGCTTCGAAATGTAAAGCTACAGTCCCATATACGTCCCGGACCGTCCCGGACCATCCGGGACCCCATCCGGGGTGATCCGGGATTCGGTCCGTGTTGACACCGTGTTGGCACCGGGGTGGTCCTGGATGGTCCTGGATGGTCCTGGATGGTCCTGGATGGTCCTGGGCGGTCCGGGAGTCGACCCCGGATGTTTTTGACGGTCAAAAACTGCCGGGGTGGTCCGGGACGGTCCGGGACAATAGTTTGATCCGGGGTGATCCGTGTAGCCACCGTGCTGGGTCCGGGGTCATCCGTAGTGGCGCCGGGGCGGTCCGTGTTGATCCGTGGCAGTCCGGGAGTGAGTTATTGACCGCCCAGGACCATCCAGGACCATCCAGGACCACCCCGGTGCCAACACGGTGTCAACACGGACCGAATCCCGGATCACCCCGGATGGGGTCCGGGATGGTCCGGGACGGTCCGGGACGTATATGGGACTGTAGCTTAAAAGCATCACACTTTTTTGAACAAAACATCCCGGACCATCCCGGATCACCCCAGACCATGGTCCGGGATGGTCCGGAGTGGTCCGTGCTCGTCCGTGCTGGTCCGGCTTTATATGGGACTGGGGCTTTAAGAAGAATGAGAAAAATAAAGTTGAGATTCGACCTTTATGTCTAGACGTTGCTTAATGCATTTCGTATTGGTATATGTAATGTTATGAGCTGAAGTTATGCAGAACTCCTAATTTGAATATAACTTACACCTGTATGTGCTCATTGTTAAACAGCCATGCACATTCATTCAGAAGCAACCATGCAGAAAGCACTCTTCAACACAGTACTCTTGGCACACAGAGTGTGTGATGTATTTAATGAGTAATTAGCCATGCACACATTCAACCCCCATACACTGCCTTATGTACTGGGCATGTGAGAGTGGTAAGTTGCACTTGACCACTAGCATGCACAGCATAAGCATCATGTTTTAGTTACACCAATAAACTCCTGAACCTCAAGCAAAGATATGTGGAGTTTTATTACTTTCTTGACCCAGCTACATTTAGTAAAGTACTAACCAAGAAGTCAACATAACAAACCCACTATTTTTGACAGTATAATCGCCCGTCTGAGAGTGATTACTGACGTTATTTATATGGATAATAAAGATAGAGCTGTCCGGGTCTTTGAATATAATGCTTCAAAAACAAATCAAACAAGCTGTTTATTTCTTTATTCATGGTCTGTTTCTACTGTTTATCTATTTTCATTGCCAACCCTCGAAAACGAATTTAGTATGCATTTCACAGAGGAAGTTTGCATAGGAGAACTTTATATATATATACAAATTATTCATTGGGCTTATTTTGTTTTCTAATGGATCTGTACAATATGGCACAGCTTTAGGGGCCTGGAAGAGCCCCTACCGGGGTTCCAGGGCGGAGCCCCAGAATCCCCTCGAGTTTATTTGACTTTCAAGAGAAAGTGTCTCTAAGATATAAAGAGAGGTTATTTTTTTAATGAAGTGAAAGGACTCTTGAAAATAAAATAGCCCTTTTATTTCATTTTAGAAATAAACTCTTATCCATCCCTTGATATTTAAATTGCACTGCTCCTACTTTGTGCTTTGTTCACACTCTCCCTGATCTATAAAGAGTGCTTTTTCTATTTTGATCATCAACAGAAGCAAAATGCTAGGCCACGAACTTTTCGAAGCGTGACCAGATTCAAAGTATGCTTAAATGGGGGCATTGATGTATGTAGAAAAAAGGGATTAAGATCCCATGCAACGCTTCGAAATGTAAAGAAGAATGAGAAAAATAAAGTTGAGATTCGACCTTTATGTCTAGACGTTGCTTAATGCATTTCGTATTGGTATAATCTCCCGTCTGAGAGTGATTACTGACGTTATTTATATGGATAATAAAGATAGAGCTGTCCGGGTCTTTGAATATAATGCTTCAAAAACAAATCGAACAAGCTGTTTATTTCTTTATTCATGGTCTGTTTCTACTGTTTATCTATTTTCCTTGCCAATCCTCGAAAACGAATTTATTATGCATTTCACAGAGGAAAGTTTGCATATTGATGAAACATATGGGCGGATATGCCAAGATTTAAACCCATGAAAGTGTGAATTTGGCGCATCTTCCCTCATCTTCTTCAACCAGGAAATGGACTTCATTGTAGCCTTAGGACAGGATGGTGAAATAAAATGGATAAAGGAACATCATAATCAGATTATCCGACCCCGGAAACCCCATGAATTCATCAACTTTTATCATACTGGTCCTTTTCCTTTTGAAACTACGCTTGACCTTTAACTCGGATGGCGGCCATTTTTTATTTGGCCAGCATGGCCAGCATGACAGCCCCAAGGAGACCTGTACTAATTGATACAAGCAACATCATAATCAGATTCTCTGACCCAGAAAACCCCCTTACTATATAATTTTTTAAAACATTTTAGCTCTTTTCCTTTTGGAACTACTATTGACCTGTAACTATCAGATGGCGGCCATTTTGGATTTGACCAATATTTCCAGTAAGACCCGAGGAGATCTCAAATCGATTAAAGAATATCATAATCAGATTCTCTGACCCCGATAACCCCATAAATATATAAACTTTTATCATACTAGCCCATTTTCTTTCGTAACTACACTTGATCTGTAAATATCAGATGGCGGCCATTTTGGATTTGACCAATATATGACCAGAATGGTAGCCACCCCCTATAGGAGACCTCAAATCGATGAAAGAACATCAAAATCAGATTCTCTGACCCCCAAAACCCCATAAATATATAAACTATTATCATACAAGCTTTTCCTTTTGGAACTACGCTTGACCTTTAACTCAGATGGCGGCCATTTTGGATTTGCCCAATATGGCATACCCAGAGGGTGCCCTTCTTGGCGTCCGGCAGAAATCGTAAAAGTATGGTATAATCTACCTCTGGGCCAAATTTGGTGCTTTTAGAAGAATCTGCACCAAACAACACCTATTTAGCCCTAACAGCCCCCACTATGACTATGTATACGCGTGGACTAGAGTACGGACATTCGGTGCGGCAGGCGGACTATTGGTGCGAGACCTCTTTTGCACGGATTGTCCGTCAGACATTTGAGGCGCGCACGGAATGTCCGACACGGACATTCTGCGCGGATAAAATCCGCACCGATCGTCCGCTCTCGATCGATCTCTAATAGTCGGACGATCGGTGCGGGTTACATTCTACGCGGTCACACCGGCCGAAAATTCGCTCAGAAAAAAAAAAAACCAAAAATGTAAAAATCACGTGTTTTTACATAATTTTCTCTCAAGGGGGAGGGGCCGGGCCACCGGCCCTCCTCCCCCCCCCCCCCCCCACCTCTGAATCCGCCACTGCGCTATACTGGCAATCCTTATGTAGGGCAATTGCATTACGTAATATTGTGTTTTAGAGGCTAATTAAGACCGTTATAGCGCACTGTAGGCAACTCTGTGGCGTATCATGTTAGTTCTCCTCCCATTTACCATGTAGACCCTACTCTGTACATTTAAAAAAAAATCAAATGTTGTCTCCCCTCAATAATTAAAATCATAAATGCACCCTATATTTTTGCTTGGGGTTATTTCTCCTGCAAAACCGAATTAGAAATGAGCCGAGTGTTGTGCGAGACGAGTTTCCTCCAAGGCGATTCTTTTCATCGTTAAAGTTACGTGGAAGTAGTTAGGCCGACGTACGTTGATTGCATACGTGTTTACGCACTCTATATCAAACTCTAACACTGGATCGGCAGAAAGTGGGAACATATCATAGATATCCCTAAAAGGAGGTAACTAGTTATACAGTTCACCATTTCATTTGTATCTTTGCTTTATTATTTGGCCTTCTCTTGAAATAAACCTCTGGCCAAGTGGCCATTTCATTTGGGTGTGTACCCACACTTGCCAAGACTTGCGTGTCAACGCAACGAGTAGAACAACTCCTACTAATTAATGCATCAATCAATGCAATGGCAATATGCATGCATTAACTCCACTGATCTCCGCCACCGAAGGCGTCCGAGCTCCAGAGCCTGCACAGGAAAACGATTCAAACAGCGGGTTGGGTCGTATTTTTTCGAAATGTAAAGAAGTAGTAATAACAATTTTGACTTAGATCTAGAGTAGAGTAAAACCGCCAAACTTCGGACATTGCCAAACTTCAGACAAAAATTACTTCAACGGCTCGAACGCAAAATATGAGCCTAGCTCAGGCAGGTAACTTGGATGCATTTGATACTACTACTAACCTACATCGTTAGTACAGAAAGTTAGGGCAGGTTGCCGTCTGCAAAACTCACAAAAAACATTGAATTCAGAGACAGATTTCAGGTTACCTGGATTTTTACAGTTCCTTAACAGGGGAGTTAAGGTATAGAGCCTGCAATATATCGATTAAAAACAAATCCTTGGCAAAAGATTGCAAAATTTGCCGATCTTTTGTCAATATTTTCACAATTTCGTACCCAATTCCAAATAAACTTTTATCTCTGGGTCATTTTATGTTCCTCTTTCCATTGGCGATATCAGATTTTCGAAATCTTACTGATATTTTGAGATAGCGAACTTCGGTCACGCGCAAACTTTGGTCACACCACCATTCTGATAATGAAATATTTGTTGATATTTCTATTTTATGTGTGTACCTATGGCTACGAAACCGAAATCGTACCTCACAAACACACTATCCCGTGCTAATTAACTCTCTATTAAATTATATATCTCACTCTCACAGGTAAATTAAAGTGGAAAACCAACGTAAATCTGTTGGCACTGCACTCACAACTGGCAACTGAGAACTTCTGAGAAACGCCCACTTTGGTAATCTTGATCTATTTGAAGCCTAAGGACTAAGCTTCACCATGGGTGGGGCTTTCACCAAACTACTTTCCAGTTTATTTGGCAAGAAAGAGATGAGAATATTGATGGTTGGATTGGATGCTGCTGGAAAGACGACTATCCTCTACAAACTCAAGCTTGGTGAAATTGTCACAACCATCCCAACAATAGGTATGTATGAATACAAGGATTAGTTGTGTGATAGAGTTTCTATGGTTATCTAGAGTTGAGAGCTGGGGGGCGTTTCATGTTGATGAATCTGGAAAGAAATAGAATATTTCAAATTTCTTTAAGACGCGAGTATACATGTACATGTACTGTACGTACATTTAATTGAATAGAAATAAATTTGTGGACAGAGATTCAGGGACTATGTTGTGCTCTTCTTAAAGCCTTCTGTTCTGAACAACCCATCTATTGCATGATATTAAAGCAATCCAGAAGTAGCTTTGTACATGTAAGTTACCAGTATCTCGTGAAGAGTATATTCATTATCTCAACTCAATATAAGACTTAATAATAAGACATTATAATAATATTGCCAGACACATTTTGATGTTATTTAAATTCTTTAATATTTTGCAGGTTTCAACGTAGAGACAGTGGAATACAAGAACATAAGCTTCACAGTGTGGGATGTAGGTGGTCAAGACAAAATCAGGCCACTGTGGAGGCATTACTTCCAGAACACACAAGGTATGAATGTACTTTTATAATGACATGTTGCTCACATGTCCTGGCTACAATTGTTTCATAGTGATGATCAGCTTCTACCGTAGACCCAACATTATGCATACCACTAACTCTAAACCTAATCTAAACCCAATTACAATGCTAACCCTAAACCTAATCTAAAACCCAATTACAACACTAACCCTAAACCTAATCCAAACCCCAATCGCAACCCTAACCCCATTTCTATATTTGACAAAATAAACCCAGAGCATGTGTCAGATCACTAAGTATAAATTTAGGAAGTACTGTGTTAAGCATGAATTGTGACATTTTCCTTTTAAAGGGCTTTTTTAGCCTGTGAAACTTGCCATTCTTAAAGCTTTGAATAAAACTATACAAATTTCACCCAAAAAATCTTCCATTTTGGACAAATAATGATGTCTTATTGATTAGTCTTGGGATTCTGTCCACTAGCTTGGCATTGCACTTCTGCCATAGCTAATTAATATAATAGTTTGTCTAAAATAATGGCTAGATCGTGATTGAAAATGTTTCAGATTTATATGTACAATGTACAGTGTATGTATACATGTAGGCTTTTTATATGATAATACAAGTCATCATATTATAGAACTGCATGTATTTAGAACTACCAGAGGAGAAAATTGTATTACCAGGTAAACGAAAACACTCACTTGTGTGGATGGGCAGCTAAATCGCTATAAACATTCAGGCCTTTATTATGGAGACTGCATTTCAGAGAGAAAAAAAATAATTGTGTTGTGGTCTTACAGTGTACATGTACATGTGCACATACTTGTAGCTCATCTACAATGTACTCCCTATTATTGTCTCTTGGGGCGAGAAGGGTTTTAACTTTAGTTAATACCCTTCTCTGGGCTACTGGCTCTCAACAGAAACTATGTAGGATTGCACACAAATTTAAAAAAAGATTGATTAATCACATATTTTATGAAAAATAATATTGAACATACCGGTAGTACAGTACTTCTGAACTTTTTTCTAATCTCTTAAAAAAATTCTCCCCCAACTTGTCCCCCTCGCAGGTCTGATATTTGTTGTAGATAGCAACGACAGAGAAAGAATAGGTGAAGCACATGATGAGCTCAGTAGAATGTTGAATGAGGATGATTTAAAGGATGCGGTACTGCTTATCTTTGCAAACAAACAGGTGAGATATGTGTAACCAGTCAGGTATTCATACACAATAGGCCTGTCTTCGTCAGCTCGAGTTTGCCAAATAACCAGATATTTTAATTATCCCGATCGAAAATTAGCCAGTTAATTTGCGTTTTCATCAGCCCACAGTTGCAATTAGCGGGATATTTGGTCAAGAAAATATCCTGAGAAATCTTGGTCTTGTTTTGAAAATATTGGGCTAATTTGCGCTCGTTTTTAAAAGCTAATTTGTGATGAGCGTATCAGTCTGGTGAAGACGCAATTTCGAGCTTCAGAATAATATTCGGAGTCTGAAAATAGCGGGTTATTTGGCAAACTCGAGCTGATGAAGTCGGGCCTCTTTTCAACTTATGGATATAACCTCTGTGAAAGAAAAATCTTTTGTTTATTCTAGATTCAGACAAGAGCAAATGTTTGTCATGATGATAATCCTCAAATTTCATTATACCTGAATTGCAAAATAGATATTTTGATTTTTGCTCAACACATCAAAATTTTGGCCAGTCCCATGTTACATGCTACCACAAAATTATGTGGTGCCAGCAAATCTGGACTACAGACATGTATTGTGTAAACAAAATGGGTTTGCTTTGACAATGATTGATTATACATTGCAGTCCCGTTTGATTTTCGCGATGTGAATTTTATTGTGTTTTTTTACATAATTGTTTCAGGAATTTGATCAACTTGGGCAATTATTTGACTTATACAGAGAATTATTAAACATACCCGGTACGTATTAAAGTTCATAAAGAAAATGGGGACCTTTTATTACCATTGACTTCAGAGGTTTATATGCGACGTCGACTTTTTCGAGATTGACTTCATGCAAAAATTGGTATCTGATTTGAATAATTTGCAATAAATTTATTCATCTTTTTTTTTTGGGGGGGGGGGGGGGAGGGGGAGAGGTTAAGGCAAAGGATTTGCAATGGTACTCTTTACATGCGAGTTCACGGTTGTGCTTGTTTGCGCACCTATATCAATAAGCGTAAATGCCTTGTATTCTTTCCTTTTTTTAATTTGTTTCTTTTCTGTTCCTAACTTTCTTTGCCTGTGCTAGGATCTGCCCAATGCTATGTCTTCACAAGAGATCCAAGATAAGCTTAATATTCACCATCTTCGTAACCGCCAATATTATACCCAGGCAACCTGTGCCACTTCTGGAGATGGACTCTACGAAGGATTAGACTGGCTCTCCAACCAACTGTCAAAGAAAAAATGATGCCACTTTTTATACGAAGTCGGCAATCACACCAAGAAAAAGATATTTTCCTCTTTACTTCCCTGTACCTCCCATTCTAATCTTTACCTTAATATGTCCCTGTTTTTGTAATTCTTTGTAATGATCTCTAGAGCTTGTGAAATGTATCAGCAAGTGTGTGTGTTCTTTCAGCCCCTAGTCCCTCCCCTCCTGAAACAGAATTTCCAGTCTGTTCTTAGATAAAAGCAGAAGGATGCCTCAACGTAAAAACTTGAAAGCCTGTGGTCATATAAGACAATCAATATACATGCTTAACAGGACCATTCATGCAAAACATGTTTAAATGGTTTTGGATACGAGGGACTGTTTAATTAAATAACTCTAGCATCCTGTCATGTGTCACATGCACAGTACATTGTTTAAATCTGGATCAGGAGACTTGTGTCATTGCCTTTTATTCTATAGGGTAGAAATTATTTTTGAGTAAAATGACACCAAGATCAATTTTGGATTCATAAGGTATTTTCACTATAGAGCTTTTTTGTGAGGCAATGAATGGCATTGTCAAAATTCACTACTTTTGCAAATGTAACGGTCATGCTTTAAGCAACGAGGGGGTTGCGCACACTGGCTTCCCATACAATCAGCTGTGTTGACAAACACATGATTGCTCTCATCAACACAGGTGATAGTTAGGTTGCAAAAGTAGCAAATTCTACCCAATAAAACAAAACTAAAGACATTGTGTCAATGGTCTCATGGTGCGATTGCAGATCTCTGTTGTTACGTTCCTTTTTTTGGCCACCCTGTAGAACCTTTTAAAGAGTAATAATTTGGAACAGTAACATGTGTCTCTCACTACTGAAGTTATTTTTTCTGTATAATCTGAAACAGCTTTGGAAGTACATGCGCAGGCCCATCTACATGTACATGTATACATTTTACCATGATATCTACATGTACATGTACATAAATTTTACCATGGTATCTACATGTACATGTATACATTTTACCATGGTATCTACATGTACATGTATACATTTTACCATGGTATCTACATGTACATGTATACATTTTACCATGGTATCTACATGTACATGTATACATTTTACCATGGTATCTACATGTACATGTATACATTTTACCATGATACATGTGTATCTACATGTACATGTATACATTTTACCATGGTATCTACATGTACATGTATACATTTTACCATGATACATGTGTATCTACATGTACATGTATACATTTTACCATGGTATCTACATCTACATGTATACATTTTACCACTGTATCTACATGTACATGTATTGGGTGTGTGTCATGTTGGATATAATAATATCAACAGCTGTAAGTCAGAGATTTTTTATGGCAAAACTTTGCATTACATCCCAATATTAAGATCAATTGTATGATCTGCAAATTAATTAGTGTCTTGAGACTTTATATTTGAAAAATGTTAGGCTATATAAATTATGTTGACTAGCAGAGAATTATAATGATGATGTTCATATTAAGTGTGAGGTACCTGTGGACCTTTTTTTCTATTGATGGTATTTACACATTGCTAGGTAGATTGCTATAATATGTTGTTGTTTTTTTTTGGAAGACTTAAATATTCAATGGTAGGGTGGATTCACAATAAACAGCGCCCCCACGGCAAACTTTTTTAGTTTGCCAGTTGACATCTTTCAATCAGTGCAGCACAGCAAAACGCTAGCCACCGATTATAACGACCAAAGAGGTTTGAACCGTGTAATAATTTCAATGTGACCGATTATCCCGATATCAGTGCACATTTGTATATTGAATTTGGATGTCAAAACCCACCCATCAATATATTCTGACTGAAAATATTGCCTGATTTTGGACAACAATCAATGTAAATGGTAATTTTGTGCCCCAAAGGTGACTAAAATGACCATAATATTGTTGTTGATGTGGGTCAATTTGACCACCTTTTCTAGCATCAGGGCATATTTGTACATGTTAGCACAAGCACATCAAATCTCCTTTGCTGATAATAAAAATTGGGAAATTTACCCCTAAATTCACCAAAAGTGACCATAAATGGCCAAAAATTGGCCTAAATGCCTGAAACGGTGCGAGAAGGGTCAGGACGACTTGATATTTTATCAATCGGTGCAAAATTTTACCCTGGATAAGCTATTCAAGCCCCACCAAAAACTGATTAAATCCCCCATCTCCTAGGGTATATAACAATGCCATAGCTGATATTTTGTTGACTTTCTTCCCATGATGCATCACATGAAATTGACTTAACGCTGGGTTCGCAAGGTGGTTTTGTGAATCCGCCATATTGTTATAATTATGGAAAGAGGATTTATTGTACATGTATTCTTTCAGTCTTGATTACTAAATCCGTTCAGTAGCTGCCTTAATAACCGCTGCACAGACAAGCATGTCATATTTAAAAGAAGAACGTTTAGAAGAAGTAGACTAGAAAGGAGAATTTGCATTACTCTACACTACACACATTTCACTAGTAGTGGGCATTTTAGATATTTTGTCTGTAATTTTCTTTCTTTTCGGGGTGGGTAATGCTAGACAATGAATTGCCATGCCAAAGTTTTAATAAACAAATTTATTTTGGTGATTAATTAAATGATATTTACACTCTATTATGTTATTAGATTTTGTCTATAATTTTGTTTTCTTTTTAATCAGTGGAGAGATTGGTTAAGAAATAGAATATTTATCATCATTCATACAATTTGAATATTCATGAATATTCATGAAGAGTTCTCTCCCTTCATTAGATGACTTATAGATGTTATGTAAAGATTTTGAGTACCGTAGTGTTTTTTGTATTCCATCTGTATGACCTAAGATATTAATCCATCAGTTTTTGTGGTTAAGTTGTAAATATATGACATGCAGGTGTTGTGTATACTATGCATCTGTGCTATGATGTTAAAGGGAAAAGAAAGAGAGAGAGGATAAAAAAGGGAAAAACGTTGATTACGAGTAGTACAAGGGAAATCCAATCTCGATAGCAAACCACTGTAGAGGAAAGCAGAAAAATCAGACAAGTAGCAAGGTGAGAGTTTGAATACAATCAGATATTATGAATTGCCCTTTAAATATAGAAACACAAGGAAAGGAGGGATATTATCATGTTTGTTCATTTTTTTTAAATCATTATTTTCTCTTTGCCTGAATTCAGGCCCTGACAAGTTATTTTCAGACCACAGTTAAGGCTTTTTTTGTGTACAAAATAGCTAATTCTAGGTGATTTTCAGGCCCTCTGATCAATTCTTACTGGGATCCCTGCATTCCACATAGGTTGTGTAATCTTGATGCTTAAAGGGGAACCCCAACCTCATATATGAAGTTGGTCTTCATAAAAGCAAAAATAACATAGGAGGGAATCTGATCAGAAGAAAATAAAATGTGAAAGTTATACATGTGACTGTAAGTACCTGATGCAATTGATCAAACGACATACATGTATTACAGTTACCTAAAACATGAAAATGATAAAGACGTCCTTGGTTGCGAGCAGATTGTTTATCTGTGGGGGTAAAGAAGTAGTAAGACCTTGGCCTAAACCATGTCCACTTTTTGACAGCTGAGGTATATCAATGTGAACTAAATTTAATAAAGACGTCCTTGGTTGCGAGCAGATTGTTCATCTGTGGGGGTAAAGAAGTAGTAAGAGCTCGGCCTAAACCTTGTCCACTTTTTGACAGCTGAGGTATATCAATGTGAACTAAATTTAATAAAGACGTCCTTGGTTGCGAGCAGATTGTTGTTCTGTGGGGGTAAAGAAGTAGTAAGAGCTTGGCCTAAACCTTGTCCACTTTTTGACAGCTGAGGTATATCAATGTGAACTAAATTTAATAAAGACGTCCTTGGTTGCGAGCAGATTGTTCATCTGTGGGGGTAAAGAAGTAGTAAGAGCTTGGCCTAAACCATGCCACTTTTTGACAGCTGAGGTATATCAATGTGAACTAAATTTAATAAAGACGTCCTTGGTTGTGAGCAGATTGTTTATCTGTGGGGTAAAGAAGTAGTAAGACCTTGGCCTAAACCATGTCCACGTCCACTTTTTGACAGCTGAGGTACCGTTATATCAATGTGAACTAAATTTAATAAAGACGTCCTTGGTTGCGAGCAGATTGTTTATCTATGGGGGTAAAGAAGTAGCAAGAGCTTGGCCTAAACCATGTCCACTTTTTGACAGCTGAGGTATATCAATGTGAACTAAATTTAATCGTACATGTATAGACTTGATTCATGTTATTTGGGATTTTTTTTTCTTTCTCTCTCACAATTTTGTTGTTTCTACCTACACCAGAGCCAGCAATTTCGTCATTCTCTCGGTAGATCATATGTACTTTACTTTCAGAGTAGATTTCATCCATGACTAATGAGTAAGCTATATAATTCCAAGATAAATATATTATGGTTCATATTGTAGATGTCTTGCAAGATCTGTTCCAATACAAAAGAATTATGATTAAAGTCATGTTCAGATTTCATGTAATATCTTTGCTATGCCATTCTTTGTTGTTGTTTTTTATTATTTTATTACAGCATACAGTACATCTTGTACATGTTCAGTTGTTCAATAGAGATTCTTTGAAAAGGAAAACAAAATTTGTCCACCAATTACCAGAAAATGATAATATCCTGATCACTTCTCTTGCTCATGCCAAAGTTCAATTCTCAAATACCGGTATGTATATTGTCATGTTTGAATGAATTTGAAAGGTTTTAAAGGGACTTGGTAACATTGTTCAGATGAGGGATAGTAGTGCTAAGGTAGTGACTTCAATGCTAGATGTACAATTAAAGATAATATGAAAATTTGAGTGAAAACGGACCATTATTCATGGTACAAATTGGGAAAAACTGATCTCATCGATTCCTTAATTCTCCCAACTATATTATAGGTGAATTCCATTCCAGACATTTAAGTGTTGACAGATTTTTTTATAGCCTGTTTTATATCTTTTTTTTCATGGAAAACGGTTCGGAAAATTCAAAAAATGGTTGGGAGAATTTACGGTTAATCACTGTTAGAGGGTGTCGTACATCGACGCCTTCAAAGAAAACCAAAGATATCTTTGTGGTTTGAGTATTTTTTCAGGATTTTTTGCATGTCAGAGGGTTAGTACAGTAGAAGGGATATAGTAAGTAACATTTATACAAAAATTAAGCAATTTTTTTCATCAACCTTCAACAATGTTACCAAGTCACTTTAAGTGAGTGATGTTAAAGGGGTAGTTGAGTTTTGTTGCAGAGGGCGCTACACAAAATAATTTTTTGTGAGATAATGAAAAACCAGAGTGTCAAATTTGAAAGAACATACTGTACAATTTAAAAGACCATACAATTTAAAAGACAAAATCATCTGTTTGATCAAAATCAAATCAGAGACGGTTGAAATATCCATAAATATAACAGATTTCTAATCTTTGTGGTGCCCCACAAATATTCCACAATTTGAACCAGCCATTGCAAAAAAAGAAATAGCGCCTTAATACGTTTTATTTCAGCCCATGCTGATGTTGGCTTTTTCGTGTTGGTTGTAATACGCACTACCAGCCGGCCCGTGTTTCGTCTTGAAAATAGCCCAACTGCCTGGAGGTCATCGAAAAGTACCGAGCGGCCATTTGGAAAAAGGGCCTCCTCCTTCCTATTTTTCAAAAAGGCAGGACGCTAAACATCTTCTTTTTTTTCTTCAATGGCTTAAGCATGTAGGGCCTGATTTCCGATTTAGTTCAATATACATGTAATACAGAGTAAATGAGTATGAGGTCATCATCATTCATATCTAAACCAATAAATGACTCAAAAGTATCCAAGCTGAGCCATTATCCTTTAGAACTTCAAAATGATTTATTTACAGCAGTGAAACTCATAAAAATACAATTTAATATTTGACAATTCACTCAGTTGGAATGATGAGTGCTGCTTATAAATTCACAGGTACGTTTTTCCACGGGGAAATTTAGTTATATTTAGGCATTGGTATATTACATGTACATGTAATAGTCAAGTATTAGTGAATATGCCTATAGATGTACATGTATTCTATGCGATTTAAAAAGATTCGTTTTTAAAGAAATCACAGAATGATGCATTTAAAAAAAGGGATCCAGGATACACATAATGTGATCTGAAAACAAGGACAATACAAGGACAAGAAACAGGCGGAATTGATTCATCAATAGGTAAACAGGATTTAATTACAAAATTTCTTCTAATATTAAGTACGATAGAGGAAAGGATCAAAACACAGTGGATCAAGCTATATTTCTACTTATCAAAAAACTCTGATCATTATACTTCAATACATATATATCTTTCTTTGTCCATTCTTTAATATGCTGAGGCCAATTACAAGTCATACAATGTTCCTGTTATGTCAATGAAAAGACTCCACATCCTCTTGTTGATTTTACCTCTCTCAGACCAATCATAAGAGAGTCAGGAATGTTTGAAATATGAAATCACTAAGTGTACCGGTACATGTAATGTATATGAATCTTAAATTGGCAGTTTGCTCAACGGATTGTGATGTAGTCTCGACACTCTCCCGTTTGTCATACATATACAAAAATATGATTGATTTCTGTTTTTCTTTTAAGTACCTTCTCCCTTGGGGCACTATATGGATAGCATATCATTATATAGGTTCTCTATATTAACATTTTTTTGTCAAAGACCCTCCTGAAACATTCATTTTGAATATTGACATTTCAGTCATTTAGTGTGAAGAAACAAATGGGATAATTCGTCCCTATTTTCATGAAGTGATGGTAGTGAATGAAAATTGCATACACTTTGCGTTACAATTTTCCTCAATACCGTCACTTCGAGAAAACGGACGAATTGTCTGGCACAACATCACAGTGGCATTACTGATGCAGTCAATTCAACGTACAGTACCCGTAATATTGTGTATGAATTATTTCTGTTCAACCACAGGGAAATACTGTAGATCATGATGGCCTAAAGGAAAATTTAGCTTGCCCTGTGAAAATATAAGAGGTACTATACTGTTATACAGATCTAGTTTAAGGCTTGTTTAGGTATCATCAAACCACATTTATAATCAAATCATTAGGCAGTAATCAACACATAGATTAGGTGTTGAGCACTGGTTTTCCATATGAAGCAGAAGAATTAGGTATTTTCATTTGTAACAAATATATTACCGGTATCTTATTAAGTACATGTAGCTTCAACAGCACATTGTGCAAATAAGGTAGCTCCGTGAAATGTAGTGGCTCAAACAAATACATCTGGAATGCAAATTACATAAACCATTGAAAATAATGATTTTATGGCTTACCGTAGAACTAGAAGAATTTAGTTAGGACATAAAGCTGGCACACATACTCTTCTACCTTCAGGCTTTACAATATCTAGACTTTCCATCAGCTTTGTCAAATTACAACTTTTAATTTGCCAACATCGCAAAACTTCATGTTCAGGACATGTCTTTTCACGGCGCTACATTTTGTTAATTTACGGAAATTCCTAAACTGCTGTCTGTGCGATTGGCAAAGGAGGCACATTCAGAGTTTGACAAATCATATCTGCTTGATAAATTCACCTAGCATCTTCTTCCCTCTTTCTTCTAGATCCGTCCCGAATGTTTGACTATCCCGAGAACGATATCGTTCTCTGCTTCCTGATCTCTTCTTTCTGTTTTCATCTTCTTTCCTTCCAGGTCCATCCCTTCCATTGCTTCTATCCCTTCTACTATCTGAATCTGGTCTATCTTTCCTCTCTTTCCTTTCCATTCTCACATCATCTTTTCTCTCTGCAGATTGATATCTTCTTCTTCCTGAATCATAATCACTGCTTCTTTTCTCTTTCCTACCCCTCTCCTGCCTATCTCTATTTCTATCATCCCTGTCATGTCTTTCTCTTGAAGGGCCTTTCTGCTTCACGTCGGCAAAAGAAGGGCCACTGTTGACTTTCCTTCTATCATTCTGTTCATAACTGTCTACCCTTTTAGATCTGCTATCATCCTTCCCATTTCGTGCGTCGGAATCTCTCGGTATTCTCCCTTCCATTTCTGTCCTTCTATCCATCTTTCCGGAATCTCTTTCTCGTCTGCTTTCATCTCTATCTGTTCGATGGGTTGGTTTATTACCTTTCCTTCCCTGTAACTCATCATCATCGCTTTCAGCAGACATGCTCTTCCGTTTCCTATCACGCACCGTCTTATCCTTCTGTCTATCAGCAATTCTCCTTTCTGTTGTCTTCTTCTTGTAACCATCATCACTATCGCTGCTAGAAGTCTCTCTGCTCTGTCTCCTTCTTCTCCTGTTCATCTGCGTTTTATCCTCTTGATCACCAGTAATTCTATCCTGTTTCTTATCCTTCTGTCTATCAGCAATTCTCCTTTCAATTGTCTTCTTCTTTTTGTAACTGTCATCACTATCACTGCTAGAAGTCTCTCCACTCTGTCTCCTTCCTCTCCTGTTCATCTGTGTTTTATCCTTCTGACCAGCAGTAATTCTATCCTTTTTCTTCTTTTTCCTGTAACTGTCATCTCTACTTTCACTATCGCTGTCTGAGGAGGCCACTATGCGCTTTCTATTATATTCATAATCTCTCCTTTCCTCTCTCCTTCCTTCTTTCCTTCTTTCTCTCTTCTCTTCTCCGCTGTGTTTCTTCTTCCTGTCACTGTTCTTCGCCTTCTTTTCTTGGTAGTCACACTCATCATCGCTAGCTGACGTCTGGCGTCTTCTCCTTGATGATTTACTCTTGTCCTTTCTCGATGACTTACTGTGTTTTTTTCTATCATCACTGGACTCTGCTTCAGAGCTGAAAACAAGAAAAAAGATCCACTATCGGTCAAAGAAAAAAAAACACAGATTTTCTGGTTCTGTATGCATCATATTAAACACAGAGCACACATTGGTGTCATCCTATCAAGCAACCCACACAAAAGCACCTGTTTCATACTCCATAAGAAACAGATATTATTTTTGTTTTTAATTCAGCACTTCTCGATATATGTACAGGTGTATCGCATGAAATTTTACCACAAAATCACCCTTGATTAAGTTGAATACAAATAAATCTTTGTTAAGTGCCCTGTCACAAATTATTTCATTCACCTCTTATGAATAATCGTATTTCAATAGTCAGAATGCCAGTTTCAAACATGAATTGTTGCTAGGTAGGACAAACACTGTGACTTGTCTTACCTAATAACACGCAAATGTGTAAAAATAAGCATTCTGACTATTGAAATACAATTATTTGTAACGGGTATGAAAAAATTTGTAACAAGGCACTTAATGAGTTGTGCATTAAATTTGAGTAAATCACAGAAATCTTCATGGCTACCCTTCTTGAAAGGAATCATTTGTTTCCACCGGCCAGCTAGCTAAATGTAAAAACCTAAACAAAATAGCACCTTGGGATGGAGCTAAAGTCACTATTGATGAGCACCCCTCCCCCCCCCCCCTCCCCCTCCCCCTCCCCCATAACAAAACATGCCCTTTTTAGGATTGATTAAGGCCCTCTGCACTAGTTTGGCATGGGGGATTAGACCTCCCTGCAAGGTCCCTGGTAGGTGGTTATCTCATCGAATCAGCTCTCAATTAACATAAAAAAGGGCATCATGGGGATCAACAAGTACTGCTCAGGCATAGTTGGCTGTATAGAGGGCGCAAGTAGCTATAAGTAGGGGCTTTAACACAAATTAGGCAAATTTATTATAAAAAATGCATTCATGAACTCACCTCTCTGATTGTTCTGAAGAATCTGAATCACTCTCGCTATGGTGATGCCTTTCTTTTCTCTTCTTGTTTCTCTTTGACAACTGATCTGTATCCCGGCCAATCTTCTTATTTTTCTTCTTTTTCTTCTTTGAATCTGTCAATCTTTCTAACCTATAATACCAAGAAGAAGAAAAAATATAGCAGACAAAAAAGAAGAAGGAGAAGAAGAAGGAGAAGAAGAAGGAGAAGAACAAGAACAAGAAGAAGGAAAACAAGGAGAACAAGAAGAGGAAGAAGAAGAAGAAGAAGAAAAGAACACGAGAAAAGAAGATGAAGAAGAAGAAAAACAATATTGTTTACTTGATCAATCATCATCAACGATAAAGCTGCCAACATTCTTTGATTTCAAAAGCTTTCAGTAAAAAGTTCGAATTATTCTTGTTTAACAAATTAAAAACACATGTTGCTCTTCAAGGTAATTACTAAGAAATTAGAAAATGGGGTAAATTTACATTTTTACATTGCAAGAAAAACTACTTTGCATTATTTTTTCTGTTACAATTTTAAGGTTCATTTGCTCACTGTATGAGCTTCTCATCGATGACAAGAGCAACAGTTTCATCTTACATTTGAGACTTTGTCTGACAATTTGCAAAGTACTGCAAGTAGTACAAAATGCCACACAATGCATGTTATTGTTAAGGAAATCCAATCTTCATAGCAAATTGATCTGAAGGAAAGCACAACAACCAGGAGCAGAGGGTTAAAGTTTGGAAGAAATCACGACAAGTTACAGCTATTTTGGTCCCATACATTACTGTCCTGACCACATCTAAAATGTCATTATCTGATGATTGTAACTAGCTGATAGTCTAACATTTCTAACTAGAGCTTACATATGACATAACATCAAATGAAGACAATGAATAAATACTAACCCTTTACTCCCTTTGAGTTTCTGCAGTAGAAGATCATCTAAACTACCAGGTTCGGCCTTCTTCTGTACAAACGAATGAAGATAATAATACTGTCATCATCATCACCATCACCATCATAAAAGCAACCACCAATGCTCATGTTAAAAGGTTGAAGATTTAAAGATTTTTACACAGGAACAACCCAGCAGACCAATAGTTAACAAGATTGACAATGTTGGTTCAGTGAGAACCCTAGGAAAGTCATTTACTGTCAATCGCTAGAACACACAGATAACTTTACAAAAGATACAAGAGGAGAGAGAAAGGGTGGAGAGAACTTTGTATATTAATAAGCAACTGTGGAATCATGTACATGCCCAAATAAATACGAAACCAAGTAATTTAAGCAAGAAAATAATAACACATGGATAAATAATTTGCATACAACATGAACACACATTTTTATGGGGCTTTTTTTTTTAAAAATCATGTTTTTTAACCCTAATAAGGCCGGGGGGGGGGGGCCATTATGGCCCCCCCCTCCACGATTTTTCCGATTGCTCGGGAACGCATATGGATGGCGCCCCGCCGCTCGCTGACTTTTTTCTTTCGAGTCTTGCGCAACTTTTAAAAGAATTTTTTTGAAAATCGGACCTATGGTTACAAGGTCACGTGACCTTTTGTCATTGCATGTCAGCCCGAAAATCGCTCATTTTCGTGATTTGTGTACAAAACATATGGAAAAGTCATTTTTCCTAAAAACAGATCAAACATGGGTTATTGGGTCTTGTTTAAAGTTTAGGTGGTTGATTTGGAGTCAATATAGTTGAATTGTAATAAGAAATGAAATAAAACAACAAAAACAATGAAATACATAAGTTAAAAAAACAATGAAATACATAAGAAATTATCAAAACAAGGGATAACATAAGAAATAAGCTGGCTCTTCCAAATTTTTTTGTCATATTTTATTCAGAATGGTCTAATGAATATATGTAGTGAAAAAGAATGCTTAAATATGAATAATATATGATTTATGGGTAAAAATGTGATTTTTATGACTTTATTTGCATAAATTACCATAAATATGCAAATGAGTGAATTTTTCAAAAAATTGAAATTATCATATTATTATATACACTTCACTTGACATGCGGGCACTTGACATGCACTTGACATGCGGCCGAGATCTTAAGGGGGGGGGGCCATAATGGCCCCCCCCCCCCCCCCCCCCCCCCCCCCCCCCCCCCCCCCCCCCCCCCCCCCCCCCCCCCCCCCTACTAAGACCTCAAATAGCCCGGCCTTATTAGGGTTAAGTTAAGAATTTAAAAATGCAATTTTTAACCTGCCGACCCTAATTACAATCAGTTTATTTACTTTATTGACTCCCAAATATGTCTACCAGCCTTCTGTGTCCAGGGCTTAAATTAATCCAAGGCCACCAAGGCCATGGCCTTGGATGCCCCTTTGATTGGCCTCAATGCCCCTCTCATTGGCCTTGGAGATTTTTTGTGCCCTTTCCAATTCTTCCTATTTGTGCTGTAATATAGGAATGTGCCCTACAGAAAAGTGGCCTTGCCCTAAAAATATTGAAATTTAAGGCCTGTGTGTCTATATCTGAACAGTTCTTTTGTATTAAGCAATTGATAGGTAATTCATAGAATAAATGTAGGTATGCTGAAAGAATACTTTTGATGCCTATTGAATTTTATTGATACCGGTATTCAAGACATTCTTGGCGTGATGTACATGTACTGTCTTTTCGTGTGACGTGATAATGTGACGTACCAGTGCTTATTGCCTTTGGTCCCCTTTAAAACAATTCAGTCTTACCTTTTTCTTTTTCTTCTTTGGTGGAGGGCTTGGGCTTGAAGAGTACCTTTCTTCTTCGTCTGGACTTTCTGCTGGAGGTGGTCGCTTAACTGGTGGCTTCTGTCCTCTGTGCCAAGGAAATATGGTTTATTTTTGTTATTATAATTGCACTTCACATCTAACTCTACCCCCTTCACATACTTACACATTTAATTTCATCCCATTACAGTCAAACATGCTTTAGTGAGCACCTGTCTACAAAGACCACCTGTACCATCACAAGCACATTTTTTTTGTTTCCTTTGGGCGGTCGCAGTAGACAGGTTTGACTGTATTTGTAACATATTCAAAAAGTCTTTTCATGTTATATTATTGTTATCATTTATTTCTTTATATTTTCTTGGATTGCAAGATCCAATTATTGTAAAATGCAGTACCGGTATCTGAAAGTTGAGAACTAATACTAGTGAGAGCTATCAAATTCCATGATAACCCTTTAAATATAACAGAAAAAACAACATAAAACACATGTTGTATGACTTACACTGTCACTGATTTTGTTTTACCTTACTTTTCTGGTACAAGATTTTGTTTTTATTTCCGAGAAAGGTCTGAGAATTCAATCAAAAAATGAAATAGGCAACATGGGGCCATAAACACAGAATTTCTTGAGCGATGATATTATCTCATGTATTAACCAGGCCGTAATTTTCTTCTGCTTAAACTTAAATCAAATTCCAGGAGTTCTTTGATAGGCTTTCAACTCAATGAGGGTTATTCTTGCTATCGCCAAAACGTCAAAAATTGTCCTCAAACGGCCCACGAACCCTTTACTGTAGTCCTGTCTATTAGTATTTTAGGTGAGAACACAACAAAAGAATGTTAATGTTATTATTTCTATGCTTAGTTATGTCTTACTCTTGCCCATCACACATCCAAATATCTTATTTTAGTATTTAATAATATTTTCATACATTTTCACAATGATTCCGATTCCGATTCCAAACGATTTCACAATTTTCTTCCAATCAACGCCAGAATTCATGACGCAGCGCAAAACAGAGTGTAAACGACTTGGCCACCAAACTTTCCGAGGGTGCATGTGAAATGGGGATTGAACGTAACATGCTGTACTGGTGTTCTCAAAATATATTGGCGGTAGCGAGAATTTTAATAGCTTGGAAGAGTGATATCATGACTTACAAGGCTATCATCAGGGCCTCCTTCTCTGCTTGGCGTACTGCTTCAGCTTCAGTCAATTCTCTTCCTTCTGTCCGTTCCTTGTTAAACCACTGAAGGTCCTTGCCTTTCTGCCATCGGCCAACCGGGGCTTTCAGAGAATGGCCTGTAATAATGAAATGTGTGGATATATTTTCATGATGAATTTTATTGTGCTGAATAGAAAGAGATAAAAGGATGTTAATAACATTAAAAGGAAGGTAGAAAGAGAAGGTTGAAGGTTGGTTGCACTTCACCATGGGCTGTTAAAGTTGCAATGGGGAACTCTTGTTAAAAATAAAGTGCTCCCCATCGCAACTCAACAAAAGGAGGTGTAGGGTGTCTGAACGAGTTTTCAAGTTTCCCTTTTCACCATTATGGTCGGATAATTGAAAAAATCATTTACTCAAAATAATACACTTCAAATTTCAAGACTGACCAATGTTTCTATCAAAAGATACAGCCCCCCAAGATTTAGGCCATATTCATCCAATTTTTGGCAATCGATGAAAAAGACGTACACGTGGAGTTATTTTATTGATATGCAAGCGGATCCGGGCTAACTCGGACCCGGGGACAACTCGGCCCCGCCGCAAAAAAGGTCAGTTTTGTGTTATTTTGCCCTAACTAACTCTAACCTTAACCCTAACCATAACCCTAAACCTGCAAAAACTGACCGTTTTTTGCAGCAGGGCCAAGCCAAGGAGCTCCACCTCCACTGTCTTCTGTGTGCGGGTCCATTCGCAAATTCACAAACACACACACGCGATCAGAATGCATACATTCATTGTCATGATTGTATGCATGTGCAGATTTTACGAGCTGTCACCATGGGTTTGGGCTAAGCAGAGCTCACGCCTCCCTACGTACTAGGCTGGTCCGAAAAATGGGGGAAAGGGTATTTTCAAACTTTAATGGCTTGTGTTCCTTGGGGCTAGCGAGAAAAAAAGCGCATGGATATATATTCCTTACTAGAGTAAAGGACCCGGTTTTCGGCCACTTAAGACAAAATCCTATTTTTTGGACTCTTTACTTCCTATTTATTATCATTTCTTGTTCAAATCATGAAGTAAATATTATTATTATTTAAACAAAAAAAGAATCCCAGAAAAAAATCACGAATTGCCATGACAACATTCGTTTCAATTTTCACTGTTTTGGAGCCGGCTATAGGCATAGCGAACCAGTTTTCGGACGCATGTACAAAGTCAATGGGAAGCGCTCGCGCGCGCCGTGCGTTTCCGCGCTGATGTATAGCACAAGCGGGCGGAGCAGGTATCCCACGCCGGAGCTCCCGGGTGCTCGCCTGGCCGAAGACAGGCACAGCGGTGATCGGAAGTTGGAATCTGAATTAGACAGACATATTGTGTGTGCGTGGCGGGGTCCGGCTGCATTGATTTAATACATGCGATGAGATACTTTTGAGCTTGCGACCAACACAAAATCGGGCTCTAAATCTGAAAAATACTTGAAATAAAGCTCATTTTATGGTACCCATATTTCTTACATACACGCGTAAGAAACTCGATTTTTCAGATTTGGGTAGCGGGACCGCCGATTACATCGCTAAAATGTGATATTTTAGGATATATTTTCCATTGCAAATGTGGTTCTTCAGTGACTCTGGCATGGTATGGTATGTGTTAGACCGAAAGCTTCAGTCTCTATAATCGTCGGTTGTTCCACTGAGACTACGTCTGGCTCCACTAGACCTCCGGTTATAGAGACTGAACGATCGCCTATACCATCGTATGTTGAAGATATCACGGCTAGATTTTAGCCGCTAGGCCCCTCCCACAAACATGACAAACTTGCCACGGCCGTATTGTTATGCCCCCAAAATCCCCCAAAATGTCATTTTACCTTGTCCATATCCAATTTTAAATTAGGCCTAGGCTATAATACATCGGTTCCACTTACTAACTTGATTGAAATAATCCGTTTAATGGTCCCTTTTAAGGAAATTATGGGTCAAAATCGACATCCATGTTGAAAATCTTGCAAGCCGTGTTAAACTCTCGCTGCCGTCAATCTCATCCCTTCTAGTCTACGCCGAAGGCAAAATGATTATGAAGGAAAAACTGTGCGCCATCTACACGTTCGTAATGGCATTATCAGTTTTTCCTTCATAATCATTTTGCCTTCGGCGTAGACTAGAAGGGATGAGATTGAAAATACGCTCAAAACGGTTAAATGATTTTATGTTGACAGCCTGTCTGGAATCTCCGCAAAATGCGAAAAATGGAACAGTGTCGATTTTTTTTCCCTCCCTTTTTTTTTTGTTTCCATTTAAAATTATTAAAAAACTTGAATTCGGTGTAAATATTCACAATTGAATGACACACGCCCTTAAAACTAAAACAACAACAACAACGACGGCAGCGAGAGTTTAACACGGCTTGCAAGATTTTCAACATGGATGTCGATTTTGACCGATAATTTCCTTAAAAGGGACCATTAAACGGATTATTTCAATCAAGTTAGTAAGTGGAACCGATGTATTATAGCCTAGGCCTAATTTAAAATTGGATATGGACGAGGTAAAATGACATTTTGGGGGATTTTGGGGGCATAACAATACGGCCGTGGCAAGTTTGTCATGTTTGTGGGAGGGGCCTAGCGGCTAAAATCTAGCCGTGATATCTTCAACATACGATGGTATAGGCGATCGTTCAGTCTCTATAACCGGAGGTCTAGTGGAGCCAGACGTAGTCTCAGTAGGCACATTCATGGGGCACTAGAGGGCGCTTCGGTTGCGTACGAAAATCTGAATGGCCTTGCTGCGGTGGGTCGGCAATAATCAGCCCAAAACTTGGATATGGGAGGTTGGAAGGATATATCTTTTTTATAATGTTATCCGGTCTTACCCTTAACCATCCTATGTTTAATCTATGTAGGAATAACATGCGAGTATGATAAGAGAAACATCGGGACCATTACTGAAGTAACTTTTAAAATATTAGCCTAGAAATGACCACCAAACGGAAAAAATTGACATTTTTTCCCGACAAATCTTCATAAAATCTGAGTTATAAACAATTCACATCTAGGTACACTAATACAAATACGATTTTCTGAAAATTCAGGTATGATTTTTTAAGTTTCTTTCAAGTATATTTCTGCGCATTGCAGCGCCAATATTCTTCACTGCTTCAAAATCACCCTTGATTTTTTTTTTTGCAACGAATTTGATACGAGGTCCGCGAGTGTTCCCCGTTCCTTGCGTGTTGAAAGTTTTGTAATACATAGTTTGCATTGACTCGCGCACGAAAAAATGGTCAAAAACAAAATGTCAAATGAAGAAATAAACAAGCTTTTGTATAGTTATAAGAGTTCTACCGAGGTTTCTTTGTCGATTTAATTTATTATAAAGTCTCAATTAGAATTCAGAATTATCTCACTAAAAAGTTAAGGAACCGACGATGTTCTCGATCGTAGTTATTTTCATTTTGCCAGCAGCCGATCTAGCGTTGTTTGGGCAAAAAGCTAGGCCGCTGCCTTCCCACCGCGAACCTTTCCGAGTCCCGCTAAAATGGCGCGCTGCGGAGCTCCGAAGCTGCGTTGGTATCGCTGCAAACTCTCAGCCGGCTAGCTCCCCACGACGGACCATTCGCGGTATGGTGAGAGTGTGTGTGTGAGGTATGATTTTTGATTCGAGAACGCACGTAACGCAACCGTGCACGTCATTTAGAGCTGTCGAATGTGTACGACCAATTTTACACGTACGATTTTTAGTACAGATACTTGGTCAGTTTTCTTCTTATAGATCTATCTTTGGTTTTACAACATTTAAAAATATAATTTCTTCAAATCTGCTCCTGACTCGGTTCAGACTAATTGTCTGATGTGTTTTCAAGTCAATTTTTTGAATATATTTTTTTGCATGAATTTGCCTAGTCTCAGTGGAACAACCGACGATTATAGAGACTGAAGCTTTCGGTCTAGGTATGCAGTAGGGGCGCTGGTCCGAGAATGAGGATCGTCCTCATAAACAAGGATATCCTCATAAACGATGACAAAATGTGTCCTCAAAAATAAGGGTCGTCTGCATTTTCGAGGACGTGTTTTTTCATCGGCGCTCTGGGGGTTTCATGTTACAGAACGGCCCGCTGGCGATGCCAAAAATGGATTCCCCGGGGGAAAATAACCCTAGTTGTCCGTCTACTTTTATGGGTTGTCCGTCTTCCCAAGGATTTATTGCTCATAATGTGAAGGTCTCTGTACAAAGTCAATGTAGTCTAGACCTAAATTGCATCAAGAAAATCATTGCAGAATCTGTTTTTTGCATCGCCAATGCGCCGATCAAAAATATGAAACGTCTGCAAAAATGCAGACGGTCCTTATTTTTGAGGACGCATCGGTCAGTGTTAAAGAAGACGATCCTCGTTTATGAAGACGATCCTTATTCTCGGACCAGCGCCCCTACTGGTATGTGTGGGATATGTGATATGCTATTATGCGATGTATTTTAAAGGGATTTTACCATGCATCCAATGGATCGGCCGAAAACTGGAGCTGTCCGATTACCGGCTCCTTTACTCTACTGGGACTACTTATCGTTCGGAGCTACTCTCGGAGCTACGACGATGGAAACAACATTAAAATCGCTGTTTTGACCAAGACATTTTTAGAATTCCAAGATGACGCCCCTTCCGATATATGGAGATAAATCTGCTCTTTCATATGACACCTCATTTATTGAATATCACCTTCAGGATCCCGAGCAATAAAGGTTTGAATCTCGATTTGGTAATAAAAACATAGACCAATTTTGCATGATCGCACAATGTACGTAGATCGCTTAGGGATGCGTGCAATCTCTATGGAAAGGATTTTAGCACACAACGTCGGGTGCGCGATCAGACACCCTAGTATATTAATACAGTCCCACATACTGCGAAATTTGTTAAAAATTAAATATGGCAACTGAAAACATATCGAATGATGCTCTTAATCTTACCTAAATAACATTCTCTATCCTTGTCACCCTTCACACTATCCCATGTAAACTGATCCTGCCCTCCTCGGTTACCTCCTCTTGGTACATAATACATCTTTTCTGATAATTTTCAAGGCAGTCTTGATTGCTTTTCGTCGGGATGTCGCGAGCAAAGTACACTGACACAGTCAGATGCAAGTTTTTTTTTTTCGTTTTTTTTTCTTTTCTTTTAAATTGAGAAGACATTAATTTAATGTAATAAAAAATAAATTAACCTAATAAAAGTTACAATGACCAATAATTTCGTCAAAAATAGGAATGACATTTTAAAAATAATTGATCATAAAAACAAATGTATTCCATATTTTTCGCTGCTACATCGAACTTTTTCGCAGTGAATCCTTCTGACACTTCGTCTACCAGAAATTCGGTATATCCAGATCGCCATCTAAATACGGAATCCGCCGGGTGCGCCAAATGCGAATTTTTTCTTTCTTTTCTTCTTCTTCTTAAATTCTTCTTCTTCTTCCTCTTCCTCATCCTCTTCCCAGTTCCCCTTCCCAGGCGCGTAGCCAGAGTTCGATGTTTTTTTTTTTTTTTTTTTATTTATTTTTTTTTTTGGGGGGGGGCACTTACATGTAATCGATCGAGGTAAAAAAAAAGGGGTCTAAAAAAATAAACTGATCTTGGAAATTTTAGGGGGGCACGTGCCCCCCCCCCCTGGCTACCCCCTTCCCCTTCTTCTAATTCCCCTTCCCCTTCCCCTCTTCTCCCTCCTCCTCCTTCTCCCAGGGGCATCGCTAGACCTTTTTCAGTGGGGGGGGGGGGGGGGGGGGGGGGGGAGAGGCCAACGATTACCGACAAAACTAGCTTTACTGCTATTATGTAAAACTGTGTAAAACAGGTGAATATGCGTGTGACACCTGTAATTGCGTATGCGCAAATGATCATTTTCCTCGACGACATAAATATATATGAATTATTTCGACAACTTAGTCAACATCAAAGCTATATATTTTAATGCAGGTGCGGAACTAGCTAGGATCTTATTTTAGGGAGGGGCGGTAAAGAGCAAGCGAATCACTTAAAGAGCGCGCGAAGCGCGCTCATTAGCGGGGGGGGGGGGTTTTCGATGTTAGGCCTCCCGCACGAAGCGTGGAAGCTTAGACGTTTCCTTAAGTTATTACGAAAAGAAGACGATTTATTGTACCAATCTCGACTATTAATCCTTGTCTGAATGAAGTTCCCCCCCCCCCTCCCGCGCGAAGCGCGAAAGGTTTGGCGTTTCATTAAATTATTAAAAAGTAGACGATTCGTTAAGTGCTCGACTCTTAATCCTTGTCTGAATTCAGTTTCTCCCCCTCCCGCGCAAAGCGCGGAAGCTTTGACGTTTCATTAAATTATGAGAAAAAGCAGACGATTCGGTGTTCTGTTCTCGACTCTTAATCCTTATCTGAATTCAGTTCTGCCCCTCCCGCGCGAAGCGCGAAAGTTTTGGCGTTTCATTATTAAAAAGTAGACGATTCGTTAAACAGTGCTCGACTCTTAATCCTTGTCTGAATTCAGTTTCTCCCCCTCCCGCGCGAAGCGCGGAAGCTTTGACGTATCATTAAATTATGAGAAAAAGCAGACGATTCGGTGTCGGCTACTGTTCTCGACGCTTAACGCGTGAAGCGCGGAAGTTTTTACGTTTCATTAAGTTATTAGAGAAAGTAGACGATTCGTTGAACCGTGCTCGAGTCTTAATCTTTGTCTGAATGAGATGTCCCCCTTCCGCGCAAAGCGCGGAAGTTTTGACGTTTCATTCAATAAATTATTAGAGAAAGAAGACGATTCGTTTTACTGTTTTCGACTCTTAATAAGCCCTAATTGTCTGAATTCAGTTCCCCCCTTTAGCTCGAAGCGCGGAAGCTTTGACGTTTTCTTAGATTATGAGAGAAAGAAGACGTTTCGTTGAACCGTTCTCGACTCGTCTAAATGAAGTTTTCCTCTCCCGCGCGAAGCGCGGAAATTTTTGCATTTCATCAAAACAAGAGAAAGGAAAACGATTCGTTGTATTGTTCCCGACTCTTAATTCTTATCTGAATTCAGTTATCTCCCCCCCCCCCTCTCTGCGCGAATCGGGGAGGCTTAGGCGTTTCCTCAAATTATTAGAGAAAGAAAACGATTCGTTGTACTGTTTTCGACTGGTCTTAATGAAGTTTCCCCCACCCGCGCGAAGCGCGGAAATTTTCGCGTTTCATTAAAATATAGAGAAAGGAAGACGTTTCGTCGTACTGTTGTTGACTCTTAATCCTTGTTTGAATTAGTTTCCCCGAAAAATTTAAACCTCTGATTTCAAAACTGATATTATAAGAAAGTAAAACTTCGAGAAAATATACAAGAATTGTAGTTGTAGTCACTCTCGAAGTCGTCACAGCGGATAAAAAATCACAGTTCGTAGGGAAAAAAACTTGTCGGCCGACCGACAATATACATCTCACCGACTTCAAACTCCTGCATTGTAATAGTACACGAGGATCGACACAGAATACCGACACAGCTGACCCGACACAGCAACATATTTACCTATGTCTTTCTTGCTTCCTTGACGAGACGACTCCACCCACGACCCCCCTTTCTTTAACTGCACTCCTCCTTTCTCAGGCTCTTACCTCCCCCTCTCTCCTCTCTTCACCCCCCATTTCTTTTGTTTCCCTTTGCTTTGCTTTTTTTCCCCTTTTCTTCCTTTTCTTTCTTTTCCTTTCTTTCCTCTCCTCCCTCTTTTTCTTTTTTCTCTTTCTTTCCTTTCTCTTTTCTTTCCTTTCTTTTCATTTCTTTCTTTTCTTTTCCTTTTCTTTTTTCTTTTCTTTCCCTTTCCCTCTCTTTTTTGATTTTCCCCTCCCCCTTTTCTCTTTTTTCCCGACGGCAGCGCAATATTACCGACAATATCCTGACAGGTGGAGGGGTGTCGAACCCCTGGCTTCTCCTTCTTCTAATTCTCCTTCTTCTCCTTCTTCTTCTTCTTCTTCTTTTTCTTTTTCTTAATTCTTCTCTAGCTGTTCTTTTCTTTTTCTTCGTCTTTTTCTTCCCTATATATAATTCCGATTTTTTTCCTTCTAATTTCTCTCTTTATTTTTATGGGCTCTTTCTTCCCCCTCTTTTTCTCAATCTTCTCGATCTTCTTCTTATTCTTTTTCTTCTTTCTTTTTCTTTTTCTTCTTCTTTTTCTTCTTTTTCTTCTTCTTCTTCTTCTTCTTCTTCTTCTTCTTCTTCTTCTTCTTCTTCTTCTTCTTCTTCTTCTTCTTCTTCTTCTTTTCGATCGCGAGTCTTCTTCTTCTTCTCAGTCTCATGATAATTTAATTGTTCCGCGAAATATAATATTCACTCAGTGTACAATCTCCATATCAAATAGGTATTTAATGTTTTGGTACGATAAAAAACTCCCGATTATCCAAAAATATTCAGAGTTCATCAAATTGACTATCGAGTTGATTATCATTCTTAGATCAAAACTTGGAAGCCAGGAATGTCCGTGCTATGGACCCGGTTTCAAAAGTTTGAAGAGTATTTAGGGCTATTGCTAAATCTTTGAAAACAGTATATTATTATAAAAAGTTTCAATATGGTTATTCATTTACAATCTTGTTCGTGTTTCAGTTTTCTGTATTTTTGTTTTCATGTGCAGGCCTACATGTATGCTTTGTTTTCATGTATTCATGTTGTATACTTTGTTTATGATGTTATCATGTTCACAATTTACATGCACCCTGACACATTAATGAACGACCTACCCCATACGCGTATACGGTCGATCTGATTAATCGGGCTTCTTCTTTTTTTCTTTTTTTTTTGGGGGGGGGGGGTATCATTTGCTTTATTGTCATTATAAATTCAATTCTATTTAATTACAAAATAATTTTAGAAAACAAAAGAAACATTGGAAATATGAATTTTAGCCTAATATAAGTTTTCCTTTTCAAAACGAATTATAAGGGCGCGCTATATCTTGAAACATATTTTGTTCTCAAAAAATCAGGATCTTATCTTTAGACGTCGATCCACTTACCTCCACTTGAAAATAATTGCAGTAGACTAGACTCCAATATTCCTTTTTTCGGTATTGATTAAACAAAATATGAAAACAAACGTACATGTTCATGCAACGACAAGTCAAAATGAGTCGAGTAAAAACCATTCGTGGGTCGAGTATCTTATGGACGAGAAGTATCGGGAACCGTGAAACAGCGCAAAGCCTATGATGTAAATAGAAGCAGCGAAAAAGCATGTTATCATGATTTCATTGCATACTACCAATACCAAAATGGAAGGAGAGTTTGAAAAGGCAACAGCTCTAATTTTGACAGATACTAGTTCTGCTCTTGCAATATTTCACAGTATTGGTAAGATACCTACCATTCATTGATATCTATAATTTATTATTGTAGGAGACCCAATTTGAAGGCCATTTAGGCATTAATTTCCAGGCATTATCATGATGATCGACATGATCATGAATTTGAAATGATGAATGATGAATGAAGTTATTTATGAATGAACAGGATGAATGATGATGATTGGACATGATGGAAATGAGTAATGAAATTGGATAGTTTGCTGTGTCATGGGACGTTGCAGTGTTTGCATTCATATTTAATGCAGGAACATTTACAAGTGCAAAGTTTTACGATAACCTTGCACGTTACAAAGTCAATTGACGTTGACGCGGTGACACAAAGTCCTTTGCGCATTGAGCTACAGTGAGTTTACGCGCTCTCATTGGCCGATAATGATAATAACAATACATTACATTTATAATGCGCTTAATACAATGTTTCTAAGTGCAAGAGAAAGAAGAAAGGATAAGGAAGGAAAAGTGAGAAATACTAAAGGAACATGTTAAAAACATCGAATTACAAAACAAGTAAACGGCAAAGAAGATCCGCTTGAGTGGCTTCAAATTCAAGTGAGAGAGGGCCTACTTAACTTAAACGCAACTTAAGTTCAATGGCAAAGTCAATACGCAAATACGTCACACCACCACAGAGATTCTGACACTTCCTGCTTAAAACAGGTGACGCAATTCACACATAACTGATGCACACAATATGATACGACTACGAGTTGTGCAAGTTACATTTCACAAATGCTTACCTCTCATAAGAGTTGGTAATGTTGGTTCTGGCTGGAAATTCAAAGTTGTTATTATGTCATTAAAAATTCATAACTTTCTTATTAGCTTTCTGATTGTGCTCAAACTTTTTTTGATTGGATAATTTGGATTGTCTGATTTTTCTGCTTCTATTGAAAGTAAGTTGTTTTTGGAGTGGACTTGCCCTTTAACGATAATAATAGGGGATTAATAGCGATTAGTTTAGTGTACAAAGACACATGCACAGAGTTTGCTGTATTTAGCAAACGATCCCTGCGCAACAGTCTTTTTAAACTAAACTAATTTTGAACTTTTAACTATGATCATAAAATTGTCAAGGTTTTCTGGTGCCCTAATGGGTGATTGACAATCAAGGCATTTCAGGTTTTGTTTACATCACTCTTCATTTTTGGGGTATGGGTGCCGATAAAGGTTAGGCGATATTGATATGTATTTTATCACCTAGCCCTTATAGGGAAATCCAACCTTTATTATAGCAAACTACTCTAGAGGAAAGCAAACAAATCATAGAAGTAGACGAGGAAAAGTTTGAATGAAATGGACAAAAATGAAAAAGTTATGAATTTTTGAAAGTTGTAATCACTTAGTAATCACCAACTACAGGTATGGGCTTTTCAAGTTGGCTGAATCTGAAATGTCTCTAACTAATAAATAATCTTTAAAGTGACTTGGTAACATTGTCGAAGGTTGATGAAAAAAATTGCTTAATTTTTGTATAAAATGTTACTTACTATATTCCTTCGACTGTACTAACCCTCTGACATGAAACAAATCATGAAAAAATTCTCAAACCACGAAGATATCTATAGTTTTCTTTGAAGGCGTCGATACTGTACGACACCCTCTAACAGTGATTAACAGTAAATTCTCCCAACCATTTTTGAATTTTCCCAACCGTTTTTCCATGAAAAAAAGACATAAAACAGGCTATAAAAATCTAACAACACCTAAATGTCTGGAATGGAATGTAGAGCCATTTTATTGCTTTGTGAGATTTCCATTCACCTAAAATGTGATTAAATTGTAATATTATAGCTGGGAGAATTAAGGAATCGATCAGATCAGTTTTTCCCAATTTGTACCATGAATAATGGTCCGTTTTCACTCAAATTTTCAGATTATCTTTAATTGTACATCTACATTGTAGCATTGAAGTCACTACCCTAGCACCACTATCTCTCATCTGAACAATGTTACCAAGTCCCTTTAATAATATTCTATCCATCATACATTTTGAGTACATGATGTAGGGCTTCGAGGGAGAACAAAATTTAACAGATATTAAGGATTTTTTCCCAGACAAACAGGAGAGTTATCTTTAACTACGTCACAATCCACCCCACCAAAAGGAGAGATTGATAACACAGTAATTTCATGTTTTGGGGAAATCTTCAGGTCCGACTGGCCCAATCCCCCCCCCCCCCCTCCCTACCCCACCCCTCCATCACATTGTGAGTGAGTATTGCGTGACACCTTATTATATTATATTTGCTTATCTTGTAGTCAAGCAAGATGTGGATCTTGAAAATGAAGAAGGGGTCCGGATCAAGGAACAGAGCATTATGGAGCTTGGCAAGCTCTTGGCCAAGTCAAAACAGGCTGATGGTAAGAGACAACCCTGTTTTTTATATTTATATATTTTTTGTTGTTGTAATGTTGTCATATTTATAATCTTGTGTATATTTATGTACACATTTGTCTGTTGTCATATTCATGAATGTTTACAAAATAAGCTGGAACCAGCATGGACTATTATTAGATCTAGACAACTCATATGTGTACGTACAGCATTCCTGCATTGAACAGTACCCTCATTATATCTTTTCTCCTTCTTTCTCTTCTTTCTTTATGCTCTCTTTCTTTATCTCCTTTGTTTTTCTCTTTCCGTTTCTCTCTTTTTTCTCTCTTTTTTTTCTCTCCCTTTTTCCCTATCTTTCCCCCTTTTTCTGTATTTCTAGAAAGTATGTTTTTTTTTGTGCAATATTGGTATTAGCTTTTATTGATAACTATTAGAGTTTGTTCTTAATTAAATTGAATTTTCATATATTTTTTTTTTATTGTTGTTATTTTTCTTTGCTTCTTGTTAACTTAAAGTTCTTATTTTCTAGTTCATCTTCTGCTTTCTCTTGTTCTAAAATGGTAAGGGACTGCATCTCTTAAATGATATGCTAAATTGCTTTATGTTTTTTTTTTCCTTCCCCCTGTCCTCTTTGTTCAGAGCTTGGTGGTTTGATTAAGTTCACCCGTCCCTTCCTAGCAATGGTTAGCAAGGCCAAGGCAGCCAAACTGGTGAGAGGTATGGTGGATCTCTTCTTAGATATGAATGCAGATACAGGTAAAGAGGTGAGTCCTAACGAGTCCACAGAGGGCCCTTTCAAAGATTATTACTATTACTTTATTTCTTTATTGCATCCAAAACTTGAGGTAGGATTTCAAATAAAAATACAAATACAAACAGGTAAGTAACAATGGTAGAAATAATGTACATAAAGTCAAAGAAACTGTTGAGTCTTTTGAGTTCACATAAAGTCAAATTTTGAGCACTCAATTTTAAAGCCTTGTTTCAAGAAAACATGTTTCTTAAAATCATTCTGAATAATTATAATGTAATAATCATATGTCATGGTAAGGTTAAAGCAAATGGCAAAACCTTGCTGAAATCTATATTTTCTTTAACCAATTTTCCTCGAACTTTCTGTTTCTCCCTTTTTTCTGCTTCTATTTTTTTTCTGCATCTATTTGTATCTTCTCTTTGAGAGAGATGTATTAATTAAAGCTTTAGAAATGTTCTTGAAACTAGTCACATTTTGAAAATCCTTGAATTTTCATACAAAAAGCTGAAGAATAATCATGAATTGTTAAGCTGTTAACCTTTGATATCTAAGCATTTTCTGGAAGAAGCAAAATACACTTGTAGCGTTTTGTTTCTGTTTTCTCTTTATATTCCAACCTGTGGATACAAAGAATTCCAATCTGTTGTAAAGCTTGCTTGAACTGCTTGTGATTAATATGATCCTGCTAAATTGAACATTCAAATGTGCCCTAAAACTTTTTACAATCATCTACTAAAGTACTTTTTTTTGTAAAGAAACAAATTAATGACTCCTTGAATTTCTTGTTGCCCAGAATACTTTTGACTGATCTTGCAGCGTGACATTTGAAATGTTTTTCCATGTCGGCCACATGTCTCGGCTACAGCATTTCCAATTTTAGTTGGACGATTAAATATCTGTCTATTATTATTTTTAGATTGAGCTTTGCCAGGAATGTATAGACTGGGCTACCAATGAGAAACGAGTATTCCTGCGCCAAGCTCTCGAAGCCAGACTGATAGCCCTCTACCACGACACCAAGAAATACACAGATGCCCTATTAGTAGGTGAGTCAAGCAGCCAGTGGCTATCCACAACGGGAGATATTTGGGTTATGAAAGCCAGGGCGTTAACCCTGTATTTTTTTAATTAATGCCCTTCTTTTCTGTCTTAGGAATATGAACATGTAATAGGAGAGGATTTTTCATACTTTTATCCTTCATTGGACAACTATTTATTTGTACAAGTTTTTTTTTTGTATTGCAATTTTTCATTGAAATCTTTGAAATATAAATTTGTGTCTGATCAAACATTTTTTGTAATGAATGCATTGATAGAAAAGACTTTAAAAAAAAAGCAATCGCATTGTTTGTAAAGATGAAGTAGAGTAGTGGTCATGCAATTGACCCTTGGCGACCTTCCTCCCACACTGCGCACGTCAGCACATACACACTTCTGAGGAAGACAATAAAACAAGGTTTCTTCCTGCTTCCATAGAGAATGTACAACCATGTCAAATAATTCCTTACTATACTACACTGTTGTTCAGGTTTCATGAACTCCCCCGATGATTTGATGAGATCTATGTAGGCACCATCATAATCTGTTACTGTTAGTTTATTGGTTCCAAACCTATAATTTCCATCAGACTTTCAAGTTCTTGACCCATTGTATTTGTATGGGAATGGGAAGTGCCTTTGCCAAATATAGATATGGCTAGTCCTTTGATTTTCCCTTATTTTCCCTTATTTTCCTTATTTTTCCCCCTATTTTTTCCCTTCCTATTTTTTTCCCTTCCTATTTTATCCTTACTCAAAAGAGGGGGGGGGGGGGGGGTTAGTGGTCACTATCACCCCTGAGTGTAAAGGGAGCTGTGTTTCAGTTATTCTTTGATGATTTATTATGAATCCATAAGTTTAAGAAATCTTGCTGAAATCAGTATTTTTGGTCATATCGGGAGCATGAAAGCATTTTACAAGCAGTGCATTCCCTGAGGCACTGCTGCAATCGCATCGGTTCACACCAGAATGAAAGGATTGAGAAATGAAAACACATTCTATTTTGTTTTTGTTGTTGCAGGTGCTAGGTTATTGAAAGAACTGAAGAAGTTAGATGACAAAGCTTTGCTCGTTGAAGTCCAGCTACTAGAAAGTAAAGTCTATCATGCTCTCAGCAATCTTCCCAAAGCCAGGTATGAACACCCATGAACTCTTTGGCCCGAATTCACAAAGGAGGTTTGTCGACAAACCTTGGTTTTCGTACGTCATATGACGCGTTTTACGCGTTTTTTTACAAACCTGGTTTGTAAAGAACAAAAGGAGGTTTGGCGAAACAAAAGGAGGTTTGAGCTCAAACCTTGGTCTGAGCTCAAACCTTGCTTTGTGAATTCGGGCCATTATCTTGATCTATTGTAGAGAATTTGACACCATTCAGGTATAGACCACAAAGAGTTGATATCAGTCGCAACTTATTTGTGATTGATATCAATCGCAACTATGTCCATAAGAGATAGGAGACTGCAATCTTGCGATTGATTGGAGGTCTTGTGATTGATTTGAATCAATCGCAACTCTTGTAGGATGGGGCCCAGTTGGTAGTTTAAAGGTAAAGACCAGTATTGGAAACGCCCCAATTTCAAAAAATGAAATGGAAGCTCTCATTACCAATCATGTGAAAGAATATGTTTTGACTAATACATGATGATAACAAAATTTGCCGGGAAACCGCCTACTAATTCATATATTTGGTAAATTTGTTTCTCTCATGGTCTGTGAGAGATATAGGGTAGTCCCATATACATCTTTCTGTGTATAGTGCTTGTAACTTTACGAAGAATGGGCCAAATTTCTTATCATTTTGATGATTCCAGAACCTTGCAGATGCTAGATGCTAGATGATCAACCTTTTCTGATCGATTCCACAACGTTTCTTTCACAATGCATTCGCATGACCATAACTGGTCTTTACCTTTAATAGCACTTGGTACAAATGCCCCTGAATCCATGGATCTTTTCAACATGGTGAAATCCCACTTTGTTCCTTTTAGAATCATCACTGCCAAAGTGCTGGAGGTGTTTAATGAATACCTTTCTGCTTTCTTCTGCTTTCCGTCTAGGAAAGAATACTTCCACCTTTCTACCATAGAGTGCACTGCCGTTGCATTACGGCAGTAAATAAATGATGATCACATAACTTATATGAACACTTATCCAGTATTTGTCTCAATAAATTTTACAATTTTGTACAGACCTTTGTCTCCCCATATGCAGATGATATCTTTCAGGTAGCTTATACATCTGATAACATGTTAATTATTGATCAAAGAGAGTGGTTGGATAGGAGTCCTTTTATTTATTTAATTATTAATTCTTTGTCTTTGTAAGCTGTCCCATTCAATAGAATTTAGATAGCACAGGGCCTCCTTAGTTTAACAAATATGCTTTGTTTTTCTGTTAGAAAAGGAACCTTATAGTTCTATACCTAACTCCATGTACGGATAAACCCTTGCAGTGGCACTAAAAATACAAAAATATACCACAGTCAAACCTGCTTTAGTGACCACCTGTCTTCAAAGACCACTTTTGTCATTTCCCTTGAAAATGGTTTCTCATTGAAACATGTACTATAGGCACCTGTACATAAAGACCACCTGCCTATAAAAGCCACTTTTCTTGTCTCCCTTGGGCGGTCTTTAAAGGAGCTACACAAAGAAAATTCACTAACAACTGATAATTAGAACAAATTACATATGGATGGAAAGATTTTCTCTTGAAAAACACGAATGATTTGCTGAGAAATCATATAGATATGATGGAAAGGCATAAAATGCAATTTTTCAAGATCCTTGAACGTAAGCCAAACACAGGAGCGTAGCGAGCTCTGAATAGTGACGTCACACACTGGACAAACAGCTCAGTGCTGTGTAGCAGTCTGCAGCCGTGTCCCGTGTGTGACGTCACAAATATTGAAGCTCTATAAAGGCCCGCTGATTAAGGCAGAAAATCTGGATCTCACATTTTTGAGAGTTGATTACTGCGGGCCCCAAACATATTTTGAAGAAAAGAGTTGTTGTATTTGATCAGCAAGGCTTCCCCTTCGCAATGATGTGAGTTTTGCATCAATTCAAAACACTTTTGATTCTTTGTGTGGCTACTTTAAAGACAGGTTTTACTGTACAAATAAAATTCTACTGGACAAGTTTTCAATAATATTGCTTTGTTTCTAGATTTATTTTGATACAATAAACATAATTTCCCAATGTCTACCTTGAAACTAAATGATCTTTTAAAACATTTGATCCATCATAAGAATTGGGGTGTTTTTAATCACCTACAATGAAAAGTAATGATATCAAACAGGAACATTGAACTTCTCCTTTATCATGTACTTTCAGAGCTGCACTAACCTCGGCTAGAACAACAGCCAATGCAATCTACTGTCCACCCAAGCTTCAAGCAGCCTTAGACATGCAATCAGGTAATGGATTGGCAAAGGAAGATGGTCAATCATTTTCATATCATTGGTTTCATTTTAAAAAGGATTTTAGTGATAATTTATATTTATTTGTCTATTTCTTCATTTTATTTGAACAGGGTAACTCTATCATTATTATTTTCTAAGAGGCCCCCTGGGGCAGTATTCTGAAAACTATGCTAACTTCTGTGTTAAGGGTATGATAACTTTTTTGAGGCTACGCCTCCAACATTCCAATTTTTCATTGATTCTCTAATGAGGATTAGAAATGTGCTGTTAGCCAATCAAGTTTCCTGTTTGATTGCGAATACAGCTATGTGAATGCTGAGCTATATTTATTGAGCATGAGCACTACCTTTGTCTGGGCATTTGTCAGGAAGGTGATCATGAAATCTTTGATTTCTTTCTTTTCTATGCTCTATACCTCTGATTCACGTTAAAATGGTCTAGATTAAAAACCACAGGAAAAAAAAATCTACTGCATTTCACTTAAATATAAGTACACCAATACTTCTGTGTTATCAGTTCCGCTTTAACATCCTGTATCTTGATCCATCGTGTAGGTGTCCTGCATGCTGCTGACGAAAGGGACTTCAAGACAGCTTTCTCATATTTCTACGAGTCTTTTGAAGGCTATGACTCGGTAGACAATCCAAAGGCTATCGATGCCCTCAAGTACATGTTGCTGGCCAAGATTATGTTGAACTGGTAAGGAAGATTTCCCATTCTTGATTAAAGAAAAAACAGATTTACTAGAAAGATAGCAATTATAAACTTATAATTGCTATCTTTCTAGTAAATCTGTTTTTTCGTGAAATTTAAGGAGAACTCTGGCCCAAAGGTAGTTCCGTTCCATCCGAGCAGAAATAATCAAGAGAATATTTAGATTAAAAGACATCTGAGGAATATTGGTCAACTAATGAGATAGATTTTTGTGCTCTCTGAAGGACTTGGTTTTGTAGGATTAATTCCTCAGGAAAGGGTACTAGCACTAGTGATTTAGTTTCCATTCAGATAGCTCCAGTTTTTACAACAGGACTTCTCTACCACTGTGCCACCATCTCCAAAACATATTCATGTAAAATAGTTTTAATTCTTATTGTTTATTTATTCAGCTGGTAACTTGGTTCTTATCTTTTATATACATGTACTGTATTGGGAAAAAAAATTATCATATTACGTCAATGCTCATGAATATATATCTATCTATCTATCAGGCTATAGTTCATCCAGACGTTGGACAAAGCCCTCCTCATAACATTTCCATTCTCTTCTGTCTCTAGCTATCCTAGTCCTAACGGCCGTTCCCATGTATGATGTAATAGGTCATCTCTCCAACTTCTCGTCTGCCTTCCCCTTCTTCTCTTTCCCATCCTTGGTTGCCATTCTTTTTTTTTCTTTTTTTTCAAAATATTTATTGAAAACAAATCTCATTCATAATAATAATAGTACATGATAATAATAATAGTAATAATAACATGTTTGTATAGACATAGAATATGTATAATAAAAAATATAGTGTAATTGTTAACTCATCTGCAATACAAAAAAAGTTAACAAAATATCTGCCATTTCTTATTATGAAGATCGAGACGATTTTTCTTGAAAGCAATTATACGTTCCATATTTTTTAAATGTTTGAGAGCTCGTTGAAAAGAAGGAAATAGTGGAATAACGTTTTGCATTTTACAATTGAAAATAAAATATTTTGCAAAAATAATAACTGTATTGACGAAATAAAAATTGCCATTGTGTTAATCAAACATGAATATATATATATATATATATATATATATATACATTTGTAAAGTTGATATAACAAGAAATTGATTCAAATTATTATCGATGTCATTTTATTTTTTTGTCTTGTCGATGTTCTTTACAGTGCTGATGATGTGCAGTCAATAGTAAGTGGGAAGCTAGCTCTCCGACATGCAGGCCCCAGTGTAGAAGCCCTGAAGAGTATAGCGAACGCCAGCAAGAATCGGTCACTCTCTGAGTTTCAAACAGTACGTACAGCTTATCAATTACCACCTGTTTTACAGCCTCTTTGAAAAATATAAATAATTACAATTATGTAAACAAATTATAAGTATAAGGGTGTAATTTGCTAATAGTAAAATTGGATAGTAGAATTCATCTGGAGTCTGTTTTATGCCATAAAAAGTTTAATTGCTTGTAAATCATTACCTCCTAATCAAAGACAGGAGCTACAAACTTCCTAATGTCTATGACCCATGAAATCCGTGACAACTACTGTCGCTGAACAGCTGAAAATTCTGGAGGTAACAGCTTTTGTATTGAGCTCAAATGTGTAATTTTCTAATATTTGTATAATCACCAATACAGATGAAGTTTCATGATGTTTAAAGATAAAGAGCAGGTATGGTCATGCGATTGCATTGTGAAAGAAACGTTGTGGAATCAATCAGGAAAGGTTGATCATCTAGCATATAAGTATTGGTGTGTACTGCAAGGTTCTGCAATCATCAAAATGATAAGAAATTTGGCCCAGTCTTGATAAAGTTACAAGCACTGTACACAGAAAGATGTATACGGGACTACCGCCACACGTGCGCGACACATGCATTATATATCAATTAGTAGGCGGTTTCTCTGCAAAATGTGTATGATCACGTATTAGTCAAAACATGTTCTTTTACATGATTGGTAATAAGAGCTTCCATTTCATATTTTGAGAGGGAGGCGCTTCCAAAACTGGTCTTTACTTTTAGAATTTTGGAGGTGATGTCTTCGGTATTGAGTTCAATAGTGTAATTTTCTAGCATGTGTATTGATCCCCAATACAGATGTACTTTCATGATGTGTGTATAACCGTTACTCCGATTGTGGTATCTTGTTTTAGACACTTCAGAAGTATCCCTCAGAGCTGCAAGAGGACCCGATCATCAACGCACATCTAGCGTCTCTGTATGACAATCTGTTAGAGCAGAATCTGTGCCGTATCATTGAACCGTTCTCCAGGGTGCAGGTTTCTCACATAGCAAGCATCATTAAGCTACCTCTGGTAAGTCTCCTTGTCATGGTAGTATTTAGAGATATAACACCCCTCCCACTTAGCAGGGCTCTTAGGGAGCCAGTCATACGATTGACCCTATGGCAAATATGATACAGTCAAACCTGTCCAAGAGAAACACAAAAGTGGTCTTTGTAGACAGGTTCCTTTAGTACATGTTTTCAATGAGAAACCATTTTCAAGGGAAACTAAAAATGTGCTTGTTGTAGACAGGTGGTCTTTTTAGACAGGTGGTCACTTTCGCAGGTGTGACTGTATTATGTCACAGGTCTTGTGTTTGACCATTCATAAACATTGGGAGCTTCCTTCAACCCAAAGTTTATACAAATTCAATATTGATGTAATAGGACTATCATTACAAAAGGAAAGAAAGAAAAAAGAGGAATTGACATCTAGATTTGATTTTATAAATATATTTTGCATTCAACAGTGAATTTTGTGCATATGGCATAACAAAAGAAAAGTCCATACTAATTGCATTTATATTGCTTTGATTAATAATAAAAGTATGCTGGAAAAATTAACATATTACATTCTGTTTGATGACATTCATTGGAATTGTTCATATGGCAGTCATTGGTTATGATGACCCCTCTTTATTTTTGTATGTAAAATACTGTAAAATATTACCTACCCCCTCCCCCCCCCCAAAAAAAAGATGTGCATTTCATTGATTACAGACACTAGATAATGCATATACATGGAAATGAATATTGTGTTTCTTTTCATCTTCCCTTTGTAAATTACAATATTGCTGGTATACTGATTGTATTTCCTATAGGACCTGGTGGAGAGAAAGCTGTCACAAATGATTTTAGACAAGAAATTTCATGGTAAGCTCTGCTTGTTGCCTTAGCCAAAGTTTGATGTACATGTATTATACATAGCTGCCAACCATTCCTATTTTGGAGGAACAAGTCCTAATTTAAAAGCCTCCAGACTAGTAATGAGTCAGAGATTCCTCTCTATTACTCAAAACTTCTGTGTACAAAGCAACCTAAATGCATGCAATTCCTAATTTTGGCATGTGTGTTATAATGTATTCCTGACGACGGATAATCAACCTGTTCGAAACGTCGAGCCACTCGCGCCACTCATCCTTTCTGAGCGCTATAGTTCTCTTTATAGAACTATAAGCTAAGAAAGATAACCAACAGTCTTTTTCAAGACTATACCAAACAGTCCTTTTCAGGACTACAAACCCTGAAGAAAGATTACCGAGAGTCCTTTTCAGGACTCCTCAATCCTCCTCCTTCTTCCCCAAAGGATGCACCCGCAAGCCTACTGTATAATGTATTTATGTATTATATTATCTACTCACACAGTATAGTTCTAGTATTCAGGAACTCCATTTCCAGTTGTAATGGTGGATACATTGTAAATGAAGTTTGCAGTGTACTGAAAGTTCTTTATATATGGTTTGTGACTACTCTGCTGCTCTGAGAATGTAGGTTATTAGTAGATTAGTATTTCTATGTTAGCTCACATTTACGTAATAAAGACACATCCCATGCGCTTGCAAAGCTGGTTATAGAATTCTGACATTTAGTTCGAGCTATTTCTCTGCAATAATTTACTTGGAGCAATATATGGGTTCCACTTCCATTTTAGAATATAATTTATGGAGTTCAATTTCATAACTTGAAGATTAGTGCTTTGTTGCACCAAACTCGTAGAAACTGATTACTGGTATTACAGTCAAACCTGTCTTTAGCGACCGCTCAAGGGAAACAAAAAAGTGGTCTTCGTAGACAGGTTTCTTTAATACATGTTGCAATGAGAAACCATTTTCAAGGGAAACAAAAAAATGTGGTCTTTGTGGACAGGTGGTCTTTGTAGACAGGTGGTCACTAAAGCAGGTTTGACTGTATGTGTAAAAAATATTTTGTTCATCTGTATGATAATAAATGACCTGCATCCTCTCTTCCTGTTTCTATAGGTATTCTTGATCAAGGTGAAGGCGTCCTGATCGTCTTTGAGGAACCCGTCGTTGACCAAACCTACGAGATGGCTCTCGAGACCATCACAAACATGGGCAAAGTGGTCGACGCCCTCTATCAGAAGACAAAGAAGTTGTATTAGGGGGTGTAAGACTTAAAGCCCATCTGCACTAGCTTGGCATGGAGGGATCAGACCACCCTGCAGGTGGTTATCTCATCAAATCAGCTCTCAATTAACATAAGAAAAAGGGCATGATGGGGATCAACAGGTACCGCTTAGGCATTGTTAGCTGTATAGAGGGCGCAAGTAGCTATAAGTTGTGCAGTAGGGCTTTAAGAACAAGGCTTATCACACGGTTCCACTTGATCGTCCAGGCAGCTCTCGCACAGATTAGGGGTCCAGGGGGGTGTTTCACAAAGATCCTAAGGTTGAACTTAGCTCTAAGTTGGACTTAGCATCTATGAAAATATTTTGTAAAAGTTATTTTAAAAAGCATAAAGTGTCGATTCAAATCCTTCCATGTTTTCTTTTATCAAGGAGATTTCATGTTCTTGATGTGGAATTTATAAAAAGTCAAAAATACTTCACTTTTGCATTTGAATATACTTTATTTTAAGGCTACAAATGGCTCTCCATAATTTTTAAGTCCAACTTAAAGTTAAGTTGACTTAGGAACTTTGTGAAACACCCCCCCCCCCTTCCAGTACCAGCATACTGATAAACGATGTGGCTCTGTCATCTATACAAATTTCAGCATCTGTCCATTGGACTTGACTTAAAGAAGTTTAATTGGCTGTCAACCACACCAACATTGTTTAAATCCTTTACAATCAAATGTGTAGTAATCAATAGAAATGCTTCAAGAAATCATACCTAAAGTTTATGTTCATATTTTGCCTCAAGGCTAATAACAAAAAAAATTCCCCTTGTTTCCTTGTTATAGTGTAAGCTGAACCAATGACTATTTATCAAACAGAATTCAATGATATATATACGGTCTTCTGTGTTGGCATGCAATCTCCTTCTGCTCAACATGTCCTGTTTCAGAGCTTAAAATACAAGTCAACTTCAATAACCAATCTTTAAGTATAGGCAGTCTGTATGACATGCTTTTCTGAGGAATTACCCAGAGAGGTTAAGTGTGCTTGTCCGAATAATAAGCAACTTAAAGTAAGCTATCTGGTGACTTTGAGAAAGAAGTATGAATATTTTAAAACAAATTTCCAACTCAGGATTGATACAAATTTGTAACAACTGGCAGTTATAATTCTAAATTAATTTGAATGAATCAATGTGAATTTGTAATACAGTGACTTTTTTTGGCAAAATTGGTTTCCATTGAAGTGATAATGGACATCTTGACAAGTAAGATTTCATACACAATGTGTGTATGCTAGGTATACTTCTCATCCATGCTGAATTTTACGTACATTTGTTAACTCATGTTTATTTACTTCTTTTTCAATTTTATATAATTTTGTTTTTGAGAAGAGATACAGAACCTTGAATGTCTGTTGCCTTCAATGTGTGGCAGCATTATTTGACTTTTATCGTCCAGTTGGTTTCCACTCATTGACCATAATCAAACAAAAGATACAAAGTTAGTTTTCTACTACCATTATGAAGACTCTCAACCATGCTCAATCCTGTTTGACAATACTGTACTATGGATAAAACACTGGACTATTTCACTGTGCAAGGGTAGCCTGGATTAAGAGTTATAATTGTAAACCATGAAGAATTCCTTCACTGTACATATTTGTATATGCATTAGGTTGGTAATCATCTCTAAACATTCAATGCAGATGTATATGTACGTCTGTATGTATGTTTTTCTTTCCATATTTTCCATGGAGAGAGGAAAAAATGTAGTTCAGTAACTATTAAATAAAGTTAAACTTTTGAAATGTCAACTTTTTCCCCTTGTATTGTTTCTTTTCCCGATCACAGTGTTTGTGTATTTAACTCTTGATTTTCTTGTCCTCATATTCCTGTATTGTTAGCCTGTAATCCTTTCTAGGGATGTAAATGGGTGGGGGGGGGGGGCGCATTCTTCATTCAAAACCATGTTGCTAAACTGGGAATAGTTTATGCAAAAACAGTTGTCTTCTTCTTCTTCTGTCTTGTTGACAAAGTCGGTGTCTCTTGCTACACAGCATAGGTAATGCATGTACATGTTTATTCACAGAACATCCTTCTCCACCATGAAATGGCATAAAGAGTTGTGGAATACATGAATACAGATGTCAGAAACGTTTGTATCGAAACAAAAGTTGGAATCTATCATTGTACAGTTAAACCACATAGGACTTACATTGATGCATCAACTGTATTTTCTATGATACACTGGAGGAAGCCTACTTTTCAAGAGGCACACAAAAGATATTCCTGAAGCACCTCCATCACTTTGGTAATTGTTCTAAAATCCTCATAGTCGGACGTCAATGGACTCACTTTTTTGTGACTCATTTTCCCTCTGGAAAGATGACCCTTTTTCCTTTCATCATAAGATGTGCTCATAACTTAAAGCAACTAAGAGCATTTGTTAATTAATTTCGCCCGAATGATGTTTCTTATCACATGTTTGTATCTTTTCAGTCTTTCATGATTAGATTGTGCATAAAACCCCGTCAGAATTGTGTTTTTTCCTTGATATAAGATGTAGTTTTTTCGCACTGATACCTCACAAATCCTTAAAATTTTGCTCGCTCGCTCGCAAATAAATATCACACCCAACTGCAAAGTATGATGCTTAAACAGTATCTTGGACCATGTAAAGAGATGAACAAACATCGAAATCATCCCTGATAATGTAACGTCAATGTATGGGTATATACATATTTTTACTTTGAGGTTTCCCTTTGTAGGTTTCTCTTTTTCCAGAAAGTCCCCTTTTTTGTTTGTGACCCCCCCCCCCCGCTATGTAAGACCCTTCACCAACCATGGATAATGGGTTGGATATTAACTTATCATCTCATATTGCTCAAAGTGTGAAGTACATTAATGTAATTAGCAATCGTTTAATGTATTATATTGGGTAGATGCAAAAGTACTAGACTCATGAATAATCAACAACAAAAAGTACACCATTGCTAAAACGCAGGTTTTTTTAGGCCTCAATGTTGACCGTTATCGTCAATATCCGCATCCCCCCTTAAAAAACTGCCCATCATGCCACCTGTTGGCGATTCAGATTTTTTTCTTCTGACCCCCCCCCCCCCCCCCCAAAAAAAAAAAAAAAATATCAAAGTTGAAATTTGTGCGTGCAAATGAAATTTTGGTAGCAACATTTTCGGATGACGGGAATGCTATATCTGTAAAACGCTGAAGTGGTAAACGAAAGCTCTATGTGAATCTAGGTTATAATCATCATCATCATCATCATCATGATCATCATCATCATCATTATTATCTTCACTTTTATTTTTTTTATATTCATCTTTATTTTCTTGTTTGATAACTATTTTTCTTGGAAACCTTGCTACCAGTGACAGATTAAAGACCGAGACTGTGCGTAATTGCCTCATTAACGTACATAAAATCCCAATACGGCCTGCACTCTTTTTTCAGAGAACACGATGCTGTGAAGGCTTCAGAAGCTTTCTGAAACCATATAGACACTATTAATTTTAAAATTGGAACATTATCGATCCTTATTAAGCTAAAAGGCGAACAATGGATAATTATAATGACGTGTTTCTTGAAATCTGTAACTGAGAGAGAGCGCTACAACGGGAGACAGACAGACGGAAAGGTGTTGTCCGGAAGAAAATTGTGTATTAAGCCCCACTGTACTACTTGTAGTGTCCCTTTATAAAGGGATAGTAACTACTTGTCTCTACTTTCGCCCTCTATATAGAAAACAATGCCTAATCGGTGACCATTAGTCCCCCATGATTTTCTTATGTTAATTGAGAGCAGAGAATTCTGCACAGTTGGTGTGGGAGGGGGAGGGGCTTGGGGAGGGGCAGTTGACCCCAATACTAGTGATTTACAAATGTTGCTGAAATGACATGATTTCCTTTTTTTTCTTCTTCTCACTTTTGCCCATTATGCCAGAGGCGGGACTCCCGGTGGGGGGGGGGGGGGGGGGGGGGGGGCACTGTGCCCCCACTTTTTCAGGTACCCCCCAATCGGCCCTTTTTTTCTTTCTTTTTTACATAGGACAAGTGCCCCTTTTCTTTTCTAATATGTGTCCTTTCCTCTCTTTTAATCTCTGGTGAGTATGTCTTTTTAGGTGCGAGAAATTCCCCTTTTAACCTCTGATATTTTTGCCCCTTTTTTTTACTTTGACTCGTGCCCCTTCTCCATTTTTGAAAAGTGGACTTTCCATTTCTCTTAAATGCCACTTTGCACCAATAATAAGTGCCCCTTCTCCTTTCTAATAAGTACCAATTTCCTTCGGATAAGTGCCCCTTTTTCCTTTTTCATATGAGCGTCTTCCCCTTTCCAAAGTGCCTATTTTAAAGCTCGTATGCACTAGTTTGGCCAGGAAGGATTAGACCTCCCTGCAAGGTCACTGACAGGTGGTTATCTCATCAACTCAGCTCTCAATTAACATAAGAAAAAGAGGATTATGGGGCCCAACGGGCACCGACGGATTAGGCATTGTTTTCTATATACATGGCGCAAGTAGCTGTAAGTAGTGCAGTGGGGCTTTAACATCTGATAAATGAATGCCGCTAATAAAATCTGATAGATGCTCTTTTCTTTCAACAGATTCTCCATTTCTATTCTCACAAGTGCCTTTTTCATCTCTGTTGAGTGTCCCTTGTCATGTACAAGAAGTGCCATTTTCACATCTGATAATAGCCCTTTTTACTTTGACAAGAGCATCTTTTTCTTTAACTGTCCTTTTTCATTTTTGTAAGAGCCTACTTTTCCTTTATCCATAAAATGCACTCCTAATTTAAGGCAAATTAAAGCCCCTTTTCCTTTAACTTTCGCTACAATGACAAGGTACATACAAGAAAATAACATAAAATACTAAATACTGTGTCCCAGAAAGAAACCGAACCGGCAGAAATCTTCTATCATAATGAATAATTCCCGTGATGAGATACACATTATGATTATCTCTGCTTCTCTTTTTTGATTTGATGCACAACTTATTCATAATTCACTCATGATTGAATTAAAATTATATAAATTAGTGCTACCGGAAATTTCATTTGCATGCACAAATTGCATCTTTGAGTGAGATTTTAAAGGTAGTAAATCTAATCTTGACAAGAAAACCATTGCACAAAGTTCATAATTATTTCATGTAACACCTCATGTGTAAAAAAAAAAAAAAAAAGAACAATGAATGCTAAAGAGTAAGTTTTTCATTCACCACTTTATTTCTGGCGAAACAAGTACGGTAACTGTACCAAGAACACTCGACCAAGGTTGCAATTTGTGCGTGCAGATGAAATTTTGGTAGCACCACTTTCTGTTTTTGTCTATTTTTGGAAAACCTTGCTACCTATGACAGATTAAAGGAGACCGTGC